TACTAAGATAAAGTACTTTATTACCTATAATAGTACCTATAATATAGAGAAAGTAGCGTAACTATTTATAAAGTATATCTAGAAACTATATAGCCTACCTAAGATAATTATATTAAACTAAAAGCTATAATTTATATCTAAATTCTAGAGCTACTTAACCTAACGTCTAGAAATATAGTCTTTCTTATTAACTATATACTATCTAGAGACTAATAAGTAAATAGAGAGAGTAAACTTCTTTTTAGAATAATACTTATAAAGTTAAGTCTTATACTTATAAAATAACTAAGTAAGATAGCTACTACTAGCTAAATTTATAGTAAATAATACTAATAATAAGAGTATCTATACTACACTATTCTTTATAAACTATAGCTTCTATCTCTACTTTAAATTTAAACTAGTAGAACTTAGCTAATAATTTACTACTTAAGACACTAAAGACTTAGCTCTAAAGATAAAGACTATTTATAAATACCTATAATTAGAGATCTATGTTATATAAGCTTAGTATAAGAAGTATACTAATAAAAAATATACGTCTACTTACTAGTTCTTTAAGAATAATATAGTTTAGTTAGATACTTAGAATATTAAGACTACCTATCTATAAAAGAAGCTTAACTAGAAATTTCTAGACCTTTTTAAGATTACTAAAGTTATTAGCTTATACGTATACTAACTAAAGCTACTTACTTTTATAAGAATTTACTCTATATTCTATATTAGCCTTCTCTACCTAGCTACTATAAACTTATTACTAGAATAGTACTAAGAGCTACTTTCTTCTATTTAAGTTAAGAGAGTTAAGAAGTAAAAAGTTAAGAATATTCTAGACTTCTACTAGAACTACTATAGCTATAGAGACTGCCTTTAGCTAAAGTATACTATAAAATAGGCTAGCTATAATAAGCCTACTAAGGTGCTAGCTAACTATATTAAAAACGCCTAGAAGGTTATAAAGAACTTTTACTACTACTACCTATATAAGCCTAGTTAACTACGTTATTAGAGCTCTACCTAGAGAAAAAAGTACTATTATAGTAGTAGCTAGTAAGAAGCGCTAAAAGCTATACTATACTCTAATTAGCTATATAGATTTTAAGTAGCTAGCTAGCTTACTTAAAATCTATAATACTAAAATTTCTGCGTAGACGCGTTTTATTAGAAGCTCTTTAAGCTATATTCTTATCTTAGCCTAACTCTATACTATTAGTAATACGTAGTAAATACACTAATTACGTATACCTATTCTTCTCTACCTACTACCTCTGTAATAGTTCTACTATCTTAATACTAGCTATTTACTTATCTTTTTAGTAATATTTTAATTTTAACTAAACTTTAGCTTATAGCTAAATATACTTTTTTATACTAAGTATAAAAAAAGCTAATATTTTAATATATATTTTCTTAGCTTATAATAGTAGAAGTATAAGTAATACTAACTTTAGTATTAAGCCTCTAATTACTTAAATTTTAGCTTATATTATTTATATCTCTAAGTAAGTATTACCTATAAATATTAGTATAATATACTACTTACTATACTTACTTTATATACTAGTATACTTAAAAAAGTACTACTAAACTACTATAAGTATAGCTATAGTAAAAAATATAAGAGAAAAGTTAGCTATTAAATACTAAAAATTTAACTAGCTTTACGCTAAAGTTTTAAAGCTATTATAAATAATAAAAATAATATTACTATTAATAAATATAAAGTTTATTATAATAGTATATTTAATAGTATTTTTAATAGTATTTAAAAATAAAGTCTAAATAAAAGTAGTAAAATAAAATTTTATACTACTTATAAGTATTTTAATATTTTACTTATAGTTATTATAACTATTTAAGTTACTACTAAACTTTAGTTATTAACTAAATTTTTTATTTATTTTATAGTACTAGCTACTACTTACTTATTTAAAAAGTAATATTATAATACTATACTACTAATTTTAATACTAAAAAAAATAATTAGTAATTATATATAATTTATATAATAAACGCGTAGTAAGATAAGTGTAATATGTACCCGCTATGTTAACTCTACAGTAAGTCCTTCCACCAGGACCAGACCGCAGTCTGAGTCAAAAGTGCACTCCATTCTTTCGATCAAGACGACTCGCACCCGCCATGTAAGCTCCACAGTGAGTCCTGCCTTGTACGCCTTCCAGTCGATATGACCAACTTTACGGAATGTGGAGCGCGCTTCTCAGCCAACACCTCCGATGGAGAGTCACTTCGCAGGCAATGGGGATGGAACGGTACCGTCATTGGCATCATGTACAACAACATGACCCAGATATCCAGAGAAGGGTGCATACATGTGTGTGGCTCAGAACCGGATATATACGCATGGAGAGATATTTCAGGGGTAATAACCACCTGGGTACTGCCAACGATTGGTATACTTCTGCAAGCACCCTTTGAGAGCAACAAAACTCGACAAACATTGCTGGCCATCACACGATGGGTGGGCTCGCCTATCGCATCGCTGTCCTACGTACTGTGGAATATCAAGGTGTCCGCCAAAGCTGCCTTGATGGTCGACATGTCTGTTCAGTACGACGAGCCGCTTGATTCCGAGTTGCCCGATTGTACACCCGATTGTACGATCAATTGTATGGATCATCGCACGAATCATCGCACGACCCATTTTAGCAGCATGCGAGACTCAATGTATCTCTTGCTGGTCATGAACCAGTACACACTGAAGTCAACGGCCATGCCGAAGGATTTTCAGAAAGAGGCGGAGTGCTTGTTGCGCATCACACTCTTCAGCAAAGACCTCAAAATGACAGATACCGACAAGACGCTCGATCAAATGAGGCGTATACTGGCGCAAGAGGTGCGTGAAACGAGAAGAAGAGGCATTGTACCAGGTGATTGCACTCACTTGCTCGATATGATCGCACTTGCTAATTAGTATTCTAGTCTTTGTCTCTATCCTGTGGTTCTTATTCGCATTCGCGCTTTCTATACAAGATGCATTCAGTGAACTGGGAGCCAATACTACTGCTCACGATCTGGCGTTAGGCTGTCTGCTTGCCTGGTTTCCTGTCCTCATCATGGGCTCTATCGTAGACCGCAACCCGATTGCAGCAGAAGCGATACGGAAAAAACTCAACACCTTGGTCGACCACGTTCGCTGTTCTTTACGTAACAAGCAAAATTTTAGGGAGTATTTGGGACCTCTGCGAAGGAAGCCAAACTACCATGAGTTGAAAGCCACCATCGAAAGTGTGCCAGAGAAAGCACAGCGCATGGACAACTTTTTCTTAGATTTTGCTGGTCAAGCGCGCGTTAGGTGGCATTATGGTGCCGCGCATGCCATTTTGTGTGATATCGAGACTTGCTATATCCAGAAGAAGGGCCGTAATTGGCTGGAAAACGAAGAAGATGCACGAGTAGGTCTAGTGTTGGGAACTGTTAATGAAGAGGGCTTAGTCTGGTTCGATTTCCGAGAGTTCTGGCAGGTTATCAGTGCCGTCGTGATCGTCGGTGGAAGTTGCGGCGGCGCATTTATCTTGAGCTTCTTTACACCCACCATCGGTCTCGGTTGCCGAAGCGGAGGGTATACCATATTCTTCATCGTCGCATTGGGTCTGCTTATTGTTGAGATGAGCGTCTGGATGTTCTTCTCGCTTTATGACGTTGATCCCGGCACGCAGACGAGGTGGGAAAGGCTGAGACGAAGCGCTTTACGGATATTTGAAGCCGTGGGAAACTTGTTGGTTTTTTGCACAGTCTTTGTTGCACTCAAAGTACCGTACACAGATAAGGCAACTGTGAAAGAGAGAGTTGAAGGTAGCCTGAGGAAAGCGAGGAAAAAGTGGGAAGTGTTCTTCTTCCGCCCTGTAGAGATCTTTAACACCATGTGGCTAGTAAGTTACGCTTGTCTTCTCGATAGAAACTATCTTACTGACTACTTGCCCATAGATATATATCGTTATGGCGCAAGTTCTTGGCTATTACAGAACCTGTGACTGCATAACTAGCAACTGGGCATGGGGTGGCGGCTATCTTGATTTTAGTCAGCAGTTCACGTCGAACAGCTACTGGATTGCATGGTGCTGGATCTCAGGTACCTCATTGACCGCGTCAGTGATGGGCTTATCCATGCTATATATCACAGTAGAAGTAAGTTTGACTGCACAAAATGGATATGGCACATATACTGACTTCTTACGTTTACGTCTTCAGTGGTGTCAGCAATCTTTTCTCTCTACCGAAAACTACCTAGACGCCGTGAAAGGCTTACGGATGACCCGCACATATCGATCGTGGACACTGCCCGCTCGTCTCATATCCCGTTTCACTTTGACATGGCTCAGAAAGCTCGCTGTTGCTATCTTTCGAATCAAAAAGCCACGGAAAACACTTATGTGGTCCAGACGTGTCACGCCGGATCCAGTCCTCCCTAGCGTAACCTCTTCATTTGGAAATGACGATGGTCACTCCATACCTTTGATTGAGCAGACAGACTATGATGCTTGGACGCATGATTTGGTATCAAGTACGCCGGCCATAACAGCAAGTAACGAAAGCGCCACCTCAGTCGACGCACTCAACGGATCGAGTCGTCTGCGCAGTAGTCACGACGCTTCGGTACCTCTTACAAGGACACCATCGCAAGAACATCAGCAACATGAAACCGAACACCACATGGTTGGTACGGAGGAAGGCAACGAGGAGGCCCCCTTATTCGTGCAAGGACGAATGCGCACTAATACGCAGACGTGCCCAAATGCGCAGGATCTAGTGCTGAACCGACAAGGTTATCATCGTGCAGTTTCAGATCCGGGGGTTTTGCACGAATGAAGAGATGTTGGATATGTTGGATTCAGAATCCCATTAGAATCACCAAATCAAGAATACATGTAGACGATACCGTGTTTAAACGAAGCCTGGTGCCATTCTACGGAATACAAATAGCGCGCCAAAGGATGTATGTTTACTCCAAACGGGCATGTGTTCGACCCACCAATTCACCGCACATCCCCCTGCTCTTCATCCAACAGCGGGTATTGCTTAATCAACTCCTTCATAATACCATAAGATCTGTGTGTCAATCAAGTCAGCAACAAGTCCCCGATCCACACGTTCGGCACCAACTTACTGTTCCCTAAACCTGCCTCCCCCATGACAAGCACTCGCATGCAGATTCATATAAGCACAGTAAAGCTTCCCTCTATCCTCAAACCCCTCGACCGGTTCACTCGCCCCCATCAGCTGTACATAAGTATTCGTGTATTCTTTCCGACCCAAAACGTTACTAGGATCTCCGCGCCAAATAGCTATCTCCATTTCGTGATGCGCGTAGTATGCACATGCGTCGAAGGCGTAGATTTCTCCTGTCGCGGTATCAGTGCCAATGTTGCCGTCCCAGAGATCGCCGTGTATCAATGTAGGTTTAATAACGCGGCCTTCCTCCGTAAGGGGGTTGAGAAGCGCTGGTACGACGTGAGAAATGAGGCGATCAGTACATTCCTGCAGATCTTTCCAAGGCCCGTTGATATCGCGATTGAGTTTCATAGCGCCGTTAAGCAGCTGGATGAAGAAGTCTTTCCAACTGTCTTGCCAGGCTGTTTGCTGGGGCAGGTTGCCCTGACAGGTATTCATGTCGAAGCCGAATTGGCCAGTCGGTGACTCGCTGGAGAGGTGGAGCGCGACGAGTTTTCTGCAGAGTTGTTCTGGGTCGGGGGGTTGGCTGGTATCCATATCTAGGAAGTCGCAGAGAAAGAAGTAGGAGGCTGGGTTTGATACGTTGAGTTGACCGTATGCGAGGGGTTCGGGGACGAAGGTGGGTGCGGCTTTGTAGAGGGCACACATTGATTCGTATTCGCCTTTGAGCATGGCTTTGCCTTGGTCGCCGTCTGCGCACTTTATGAGCGTTAGGTGGGTTGCTTCCAGAGTACCTTGTTATCGACAGGAGGTTTTAGTTACCTTCAGGAAGTACGACTTTGGCTCGTTGTCTGCGCGTGTGGTGTCTATCCTTGCGGTGACTGTCCATTCTGATGCGCCGTGTCGGCTGCAGCTGTGAACTTGAGTGCCTGGAGGAAGTTCTGCTCTAAGATAAGTAGCTTTACTAAGCCGTGGGGTGTATGATACATACTGTCTATGACGACCTGATCGAGTGGGAAATTGCCTTTACCACAGCTTGTTCCCGGAGTCACCAAAGGAACTCTGCTTAGTGACTTAGTGGGCGGCTGCCACTGCTCTACTACTTCTGGGTTAGTAGACATGATCGATTCAAGTAGTTTTGCCTGCTAATCTTTTGAGAATACCGAGTTGTGCTTAGAAAACCTACGTGTTTCTATGCGACAACGGTCTATGAGGACTGACACTGAGTGTTCGCGCTTATGACCCATGACTACGTCGTCGTAATTGGAATTCATTCACAACAACAGGGGCGCCCTTGAAGGTTTCAGGTATGTATCTTGTGGTTGAATGAGTCATGTGCATAGGCTTGTTGTCGGCTCGCGCTTTGTTCAGCATGGGCTGTACTACATTGAATACCTGCAGTCACCGACCTAGCGATAATTTACATAGCCGAACAACGACCTGGGTATCTCCCATACGAATAGAAACAATGCGTTTACCCTGTCCCAGAAATGCTTTTGGAAATGCAAACCGTCCATCACGCCTAAGTACGCCATGCTATGCCTTTAGCTACGAGACGAAGACACTTCCACTAGAAAGTGTAGTTGTTGTTACCACCATACTCCATCCCAGCATCATCGCCCAAATGATCAACGTGCATGAACTCGTCGATAGAAAAGGGGTCTGCCATGTTACCGCCACCCATGTTGATGTCCATTCCGTCATGAGACTGCTGTTGTTGACCCATAGGCTGGCTCGGAGGATCCAGGCCCTCGACAACGCGCGTCCCTTTGGGCACGGAAGCTCCAAAGGCACCAATGCGGTCCGGTTGCGCCACACTGGCTCCTTTGCCCTTGCCTGTTGCATCGCCGCGCGAGTTCATCCAGATACCGTTTCCGCCCTCGCCATTCTTGACTGCTTTGGCAAAGGGCTCTTGGAAGACGAGGCTTGTCTCGTACCAACGGCCTTTGATGTCGTCGATGTCTATCTTGTAGGCTGGCTGGATGAGCTTCCACCAGGCTGCGGTGCGGGTGAGGGGTACGAGCATGCGGTTTCGCCAGACCATGTCGTGGACCATGCGCGATGGGATGTTGTTGTTCTGTTGGGGTGGTTTGGGGGGAAGGTTCGCGTCTGGAGCATCCAACGTGGCGTAGCTGTAGACATCGCCTATGGCAATGACTTTGGTGGTGGGCGGGTTGACGAGGACTTGCTCTATAATGTCGGTCACGACCATGAGATCGGTTCCCGTGGCGCCTATGCGCAGACGGACAGCCTCGCCTCTCCAGATCTTCTCGGCGCCCAGATACATGCCGTTATACTGTCGCACTTCGTTTCCCTTGTCGTCCTTGTTCGTCTTGAGGCACTCGAAGAGTGTATACGTGGTATCGATGGCTTTTGCAGCTAATATAGACGCGTCGACAGACGCTATGCCCTCACCTCCCTGTCCGCTAATTAGTGCTCTCCAATCCGTGTTGTGATATTCGAATTGAGGGTTCTGCTGTAAGAAGGGAAAGGTGCAGCTGGGTGCACTCCAGGCGAGCCAAGGTTTGACATGATCATCGGTTTGCACGAGTTCCTGTGGAGGTGATTCGAAAGGATGCGACAGAGGCTGAATCAGGTATGCCCTGCTCATAGGCACCTCTTTGGTAGCCCATCTTCGCACTACCAGCCCAAGACCCCAGGCTGACGTCTTGGGGCGGAAGAACCACACCACCTCACCGCTCCGGCAGAGGAATTTGTTGTACGACAAGTCGGCTTGTTGTTCGATGGATCGTGGCTGGGGGAGAGGTGTTGACTGCAATGTTGGGGGAGCTCTGATCTGTGCAGCGGCGGGCGTGGGAGCAGGCCTGGGACCGGCAACGGGCGTCGAGGGCTTGACGATGGGACTTGGGATGGGCGCACCGGTCGATGACCTTCGGGCAGGGATTTGCACTATGGGGTTGCGCCCTGTGACGTTTGTGTTTGGTATAGCGCCAGTGGAGCTGTTTTCGCGCTTGATGGGCGCAGGCTGTTCTTGCTTGACTTCGACCTTGACCTGGGGCTTCTCGACGTCTCCGGCGGGCGAGCACATCTTGCACGTGCAGTTTGCCATGTCGCTATTCTCGTCGGTGCACAGCCACAGGAGATGGGGAAAGAACTCGACGGGGCTCCTGAAGCGCTTCTTGGGGCCTTTGGGGTATCCATAGAGATAGGCGTCTTGTCTGTCGTGGCCGCCGCCCGAGTGGTTCTTGACTGTCTTCAGCTGGCCGTCTGCCTTGGTCTTGATGTGCTCGTATAGGACGTAGTTCTCCGGCAGCTCCCACAGAATGCATTGCTGCCACCGATCTGTCACATGTCAGTGCGCTGCAGCGAATGCGCCTCGCATAGCCATACCTTCGAACTGCTTCCCTCCAATCTCGCGCAGGAGCATGCCGCCCAGTTTCTTGCGCCAGTCCTGGTGCTTGGGGTCTTCCTTCTCGATGAGGCGGTAGAAGTCGCGCTGGCCCTGGTCGTTGGGCGACGTGTTGAGCTGTTCCTCGGTCGGGCCATTTCTGAGCGGCCGGCCTTTGAGGTTGACGATGTGCTGCCCATCTGACTTGGAGGCGAAGATGGGAAAGAAGGGCGTCATGGGCTGTTGCGCCATGGTGGTCGGGGGTGGTGCGCCAGATGCGCGGGCGTGGGGACTTGATTTGCGAAATGTCGACGTGTGAGGGTCGAGGCGTTGGATAGACTTGATAGCTCGGAACGGTTCCGGAAGGAACGCCTGCACGTCGCGCTAGGACGCGTCGGCCGCAAACGACGTATCGCCTCCGCGCCTGGAGATGCGGCGACGCTTCACTTCACTTCACCGTGAAGACGCCTAGTCGTCTCATCGCGCTTCTTTGGGGACGCTGCGTCGTTTCATTTCATCCTCACCATCACCGACCTTGTCTAAAACTTTTCTTGCCGTCGTTTGTTCTTCTTTGCTCTCCGACTACACTTCGCTGTCATTTCTCTTGTACTATACACCCCTTGCCAATTCTCAGTCACTGCGCAAGAACTGCCTACAAGATACCCCACAATCGTCGTCATGGCGGGACATCCGCTCATCACCCTGGGTTCTCCCCTGCCCATCACTCCGAAGAAACGAGGCGGCATCTATGAAGACCTCCTGGCGCAGTTTGGGTCTGAGAGCTCAGCCCAGTCGGCCACCAAAAGACGACGCATCTCTTCGCAGCAGGCGGCCAAACCAGACGAGACTAGCGACAACAAACGCAGCCTGCGCGCGCAGCCAACGCCAAACTACGTCGCCTCCGACTCATCCGCAAACGAAGCCTCGCCATCCACGCCTGACCACAAGCCCAGGACCGTCGCCGACAAGTACCCTCGCGCCTCCACAAGACGAGCTGGCGCCGACGCGGGAACCAGCGAAGACGAACTCGCCCCATCAGCCCGCCCGAACCGTAAGACAAGCGCCAGAATCTCGGCCTACACCGAGGAACTGAAGATGGAGAAGCGTAAGAAGGAGCGCGAACAATCTGGCGGACTTCGTCGGAGCACGCGCGACAGGAAGAGCACCATCTTGGAGTCCGACACCATGCCTACCCCGTCACCACCCCGTCGCAAGTCAGCCCGGCCGCCGCCCAACCTCGACACCGCTCGTGCCCGTCTCCGCGATGACATTGCTAAGAAGACCAAGGCGAGAGCGAACAGCTTCCTCGTTGCCAACAAAGACCTTTTCCTCCCACTTTTGCCTAAGAACAACCAGGTCGCGAAGCTTGTCGCCCAGGGCGATGCGCAGCCCATTGTCGAGTACGAAGAGCTTCAGGAGCAACCTAAAGGCGTCACCGCTGTCATGAAGCCGTACCAACTATCTGGCCTGTCCTACTTGGTCCACCTGTATAACAACGGTTTCTCCGGTATACTCGGCGACGAGATGGGTCTCGGAAAGACGCTACAGACATTGTCGCTGTTCCAGTATCTTGAAGAGCTGGACGAGAAGAACGGTGTCACCTCAGAAGAACTTCGCCCTTATCTCGTTATCTGCCCCCTCAGTGTACTCAACTCGTGGGTCACCGAGGCCCAGAGATGGGTACCACAACTCAAGGTCATGCGCTTCCACGGCGCCGTCACCGAGCGAACCCGCTTGAAGCGCGTCATAGCTGGCATGGAGGACATGAAGGGCAATGAAACCTCGCGCGCCAAAGATCGGAAAGCCTCGCGCAAGGCTGGCCGAAAGGCGGCCAAGCTCACCTCCAACGACCAGCAATCTGACAACTACAAGATTGTTGTCACGACATACGAGACTTTCCAGGCTGAGCAATCATGGTTCAAACATAGCTTCGCCTGGCGCTACGTCGTCTTGGATGAAGGACACAAGATCAAGAGCAGTGTCACCCAGATCTCCACAGCCCTTCAGAGCATCAGTGCCGAGTATCGTCTCATCTTGACTGGAACACCACTTCAGAACAACTTGGTCGAGATGTGGTCGCTTCTGACATGGCTGTACCCCAACGTCTTCGACGACAAGACCGAGACACTTTTCAAAGAGTCCTTCGATCTCAGCAAGGGCAAAGCGAACAAGCAAACCATGACAGACGCTCGCCGCTTGCTCGAACTCATCATGTTGCGACGTATGAAGGACTCGCCGTCAGTCAACCTCGGCCTCCCGCCCAAGGAAGAAATCTTGCTATACGTACCTTTGACTCCTATGCAGAAGTTCTGGTACACCCGTCTCCTGACACGTATGGACGATGGTATGCTCGACGAGCTCTTCGCTGATGGCAAATCCAAAGAGAAGGCCGCCATCGAGCAGGATATCGAAGAGAACAAGCTATTGGCAAAGATGGAGGAAGTAGACAAGGTAGTCAACTCCGGCGGTGCCGAGGGTGATTGGGAAGAAACCACCAAAATTCTGCAAGAAGCCGTGGCGAAGGAGCAGACCGACACCGACACCAACAAGGGCGCCTGGAAGAAACTGATGAACCTCGTCATGCAGCTACGGAAGTGCTGCTCGCATCCGTACTTACTCCCCGGTGTCTCACCCGATCCCTACTACCTCAGCGACCACATCATTCGCGCATCCGGCAAGTTCATCCTCTTGGAGAAGCTTCTCAAGCACACGGTATTCAACGAAGGCAAGAAGGTCCTCATCTTCTCTGGCTTCACTCGCACGCTCGACTATTGTGAAGATCTCTTGTCTCTCATCAGCAACCATGGAGAGCGCTTCAAGTCGCTTCGTCTAGACGGTAGCACAGCTCGAGCTCGGCGTAACTTGGACATCCGCCTTTTCAACCAGAAGGACTCGGATTACAAGGTCATGCTCCTCTCGACCCGCGCCGGTGGCTTGGGTATCAACCTCACGAGCGCCCAGGACGTTATCTTCCTTGACGAAGACTGGAATCCACAGATTACACTTCAGGCTGAGGCTCGAGCTCATCGCATTGGGCAGACCAAGAAGGTGACTATCTACAAGCTCTGTACCCAGGGTACTGTCGAAGAGCAAATGATGGGTCGCATTCGCAAGAAGCTCTACCTCTCGGCAAAGATCACGGAGTCGATGCAGAGCGTGCATGGCAAGCAGATTGCCGATACCAAGAAGGCTGGACGTCCGTCTCTGAGTGAAGACTTGCCACAAATGGATGCCACGCAGCTCAAGACGCTTGTACGACGAGGTGCCCAGGCACTTTCGCATCCGGAAATCGATGTCAAAGAGATGGTGTCTTGGGATCTGGAGACTATGATGGCCAAGTGCCGCGATGCCCCTGCTGATTTGACCGATTCAGCGACACACTCTGAAGTCGATGAAGACAAATGGCTCTCTACCATGGAGCGAGTTGAATGCGCCGTGTTCGAAGGCAAGCGTCATCAGCGCCAGCTTGACACCAGCTGGAAGGCCAACACCTCAGCCGCAAACATCCTTCCAGACACCATCACTCGCGAGGATCGCCGCAAGGGAAAGAACACTACCGTCATGGTGGACGGCTTTGCTATCAACAAAGAGTCCATGAACTGTGGTGACTGGGAAGCCGTACCGACATTCGCGGGTAAAGATCCCCGCCTCGCTGAACCGGTCCGCGAGAAGCGTCGCGAAATCACTCATGAAGACCACTGTCTCGCCTGCTTCGAAGACGCAGATACTGGACACTTGGTTGAGTGCAAGAGCTGCCCCCGTGCTTACCATTTCGACTGTCTCGATTCCCAATACAAAGCCAAGGTCAAGGGCTTCAGCGGTTTCTACTGTTCCCAGCATAACTGCACTGATTGCGGCAAAACCACCAACGATGCCGGCGGTCTCATCTTCCGTTGCCGCTGGTGTCCACAAGGCTTCTGCGAAGATTGTCTCGACTGGGACGAGACCGAGCTGATCGGCGACACCCTTCCGGAATTCGAGCTCATGGGCGAGCAGCACACAACCGGTGGCTTCTACATCAAGTGTCCCACCTGTGTCGAATCGGGTGAGGAGAGCGCGGAGCAGAAAGACTGGATCGCGAACATGGAGAAGCAGTACAAAGATCAGCATGACATTTGGTCGCAGGAGCGCGAAGAGGCGCAGCGTCAGCTGAACGAGATCGACGCTGATGATGAAGTTACTTCCCCGCCTGCTCTTACTGATACTTCGCTGCCTACTCCTGCGGTTGGCGGCTCTCGTGTTGGCACTCCCGTGTCCATGGAGCCCATGCAGAGTACCAAGAAGACTGGCAAGAGGGCTGAGGCATTCGGTGAGACGCGCGAAGAGAAGCGGGCGAGGCTCGATGCTCAGACTTGGACTGTTGATGAGGACCCGCTGATGCAGGGTGTTAAGATGGCGAAGGGACGGAAGGTTTAGGCGACGCAGACGTTGGCTCGTTGAGAACAGCGAACTCTGGAAAGATGGGTTCCTTGGAATCGACGATAGGCGCGATGGTTCTGGCTGTGTTCAAGAGATATGTTCTGGGCGTTTAGGAGCTTGACCTGGCATGCATGGATATACCCCCTCGATGTTCAACGCTTTTATAGTAATCGTTGAGAACCAGTTGATACGTTAGTCGTACTAGCGATGGTTGAAACGATTGAGCGAATAGCGGATGAGCATAGTAGCGCACTAGCGTGGCATGCCGCGATAATAATGAAGCTTTTGATTAATTTTAGCATTGACGTAGTGATTCATTGCTCGAGTCTTGATATCGATGATGTTGATCGAATCCTTTGTTATGTTGATATATTGATACAACAGCGAAAAAAGGAACTAAGAGACATACCCAGCCTCAACCAAAACGCCTTTGCTGCACCAAACCAGGCCGATAAAGCTTTGATAAACCCTCTGACCCTTCAATGTGCTCAATCTTTTCCCCTCTTCCCGTATCACACAGCCGCGGTATATCGAACCGTCACCTAACGATCTCGTATCCAGTCCTTCAAGCTAGCAATACTCGATCTCCTTCTCCTCCTCGACCCACCCCCTTCCATCCCAATATCCATACTCCGCCTTCCACTATCTATACTCCTCCGACCCTTACTCTCCGTATCCAGCACAACAACAAGAACAGTACAGTTATCCGCGCCCTTCATCTGTCCCTCTCTTGACGTCAACTCCTCCGCAATCTCCTTGGCTTCCTTCCCAGATTGCCACGCATCAACCGCCAGCCTTGTGCATTCCTCCGCCTCCTTCGCCGATCCAACGCCGTCCGACGCGAGGAGAATGAGCGATTGGCCGTGCAGGGTGCGGGTGGTGAAATGCGCTTTGTTGGAGACGAGGTCGTGGACTGCGGTTTTTCCTGGTGCGAGGCCGGTTTCTACGCCGATGAGGTCGGAGAGGTCGTGGCCTGCTAGACGGTTCACGCGCGGTTTCTTGTAGTCCAGATCGCCGAGGGCGCGCGACATGCTCACGCCGCCGATGCGAGCGATGCCGGAGCGGTAGTTGATCTCGCCGCCGGCATTTTCTACTCTTCGCTTCTCCAGCGGGCTGTCGGGTGCGTGCTCTTCGCTGAGCGCTTCTACGTTCCAGCCGCTGGAGCTGACGCCGGAGTCAACGCGCGTGGGCGACTGTGGCGATAGCGATTGCGGGGATTGGGGCTCGTGGTCTGCGAAGAAGACGTGGCTGTCTCCCAAGTTCGCCTGTATGAGCAAGCTCTGCTTTGTGTCGATGAGAACGAGAGAAACGGTTGAGCCTCCGTCTAGGTTGGCGTGGTCTAGATCGCGGTCTACAGCCAGCAGAGCTCCCTGTATCGCGTGCTTATACTCGGCTACATTGGACGGCTTTTGGATGGCGATGTGTTGTTCCAGGTGTGTATGCAGATGCTCTGCAACATGGTTTACCGTTTCTGTACCCCCACTGCGACCCCGTCGTTAGCTTACAAGCCACATTTTGGGATTTTGTGTGACGCTGCTTACTGGCCATCATACACGGCAAAGACAGCGAGTTCTTTCCGTGACTTGATTGAACCCGGCGTCAAGGTAACATAACGGTCTTCCTGATCTTCTCTCGCACCCAGAATCTGTGGGGAACAACGTTAGTAAAGAGATCTCGGTCTCAGCTCGGAAGAACCGGAATCTAGAAGAGCGGGAAGAGCATGCAAGGAACACACAACGCACCCTGCTGACACCAACATCAATAATGTTAACGCTCATACTTGATTTTTGCGTAATGAATGGAGTTTTTGCGTGGGATGTAGCAGCGACAGAACGGGCTCCCTATGTTTGTTTTTCACACGCATTATACATCGTCATAGGCCAAGCCTTGCCCAGCAACAGCTGCTGCGTTGATAAGCGGCGGCACACGCGACCCTCACAAACAAGACGTCATCTACCCTTCCTACCTGCATACGCTGGAACCAATCAGAAAGCCGCCCGCGCCACAGTTTATTGGCTTATGTACTCAGCCTCAATAGCCTAGACCCTGGCGATGCGCAAGTGTGTAGCTGCTTCTGGGTCTAGAGCACGGAGAACGTGGAGAAATCAAGGGTCATTATGTGGGGCACGTGACGTCGTGATCTGTACTGCGCGAACGGCGGGCCCAGAATTATATATGAGGGAGCAAACCTCGCGCTGAGGAAACTTGTTGCCGGTGTATGCACATGCACGCCCTTACTTGGTGTTGAACGAAGCTACACTTGACAGACGGGGGCTGTGTGCGCGATATACTTCATCGGCGGGGCTGTTTACCCCTCGTGATGCGTGGTTTTTAACATTTGGTATGTCGATCTATCATTGCTTGGCTGTTGAGCGAGCTTTCCTCGTGAAGCTTGTTGTACTACGGAGTATACTCGAGATAGACTGAAGTGGTTGAAAGAAAATGCCTCATCAGCTTGCACTGCCTCGTGAGCCAAGAGCTCCTAGATACGAGCTGCTCGTTCGGCCCTTTCTGATATCCACGAGATCCGCATGCCTTCGTCCGAGCCCACGGTATTGTGTTTCTTGTTGAGCATGAGCGCGAAAGTCCGAATGGTACCAGAGGACTCCCGGCGATATCCAGAGACATGGCTGTCGTTCTCCTCAAGCCTTCCGGGTAACACCGCTGTTCATCCATTCCTCTCGCAGCCTTTTCCAAATTCCATTTCCCCTAAATCCCCAAGCCCGTTTCTCCTTCTCCAGATTCGCAAGTTTGTCCTTCAGTATCTGGTTGTCTTGCTCTCCATCATTCCGTCCAAGCTCAGCCACCAGCTCCTCGCAGGCGATCTCGTCGCTAATGCACGCGCTGATGGCGCTCAGACACTCTTCCAGGTCCATATCATACCCATAGAGCAACTCTCTTACTGTTTCCATGGCTCGTCGATCGGTCTTCAGATGATCCAGTAGCCCACGAGGTACTGAGGGCGACTTCACACCTTCGATCTTGACACGGCAGCATGGACATGTGCGATGTGGGTATTTTGCTTCGTCGATCTTTGGCGTTCTCATCCACTGCTCTAGACATGATTTCCCGATGATATGACCGCATTGCTTGATTCGCACTGGATAGTCACCTAACAGTTGTAGAATAGAGGAATCTTGGAATGAGGTGTATGAGAGTTGGCAGATCGGGCAGCAGCCGGCATTGTCATCGACCACAGAAGTGTTTTCTGCTGTGACGGTGAGTAGTGAAAGTGGAATGGCGCACGCGAAATGGTCGACGTTGGTTAATTCGGTTCTGGCGACTATAACATCGCGTGTCTCATCTAACACAGCGTCCATGTCGGAGGCACGCTTCAGACGTTCGTCAAGCTTTTGGGCGACCTCATTAATGTCTCGCCAGCGTTGCGGGTAGTCAAAGTGAAGCACGGTCACGAAAGCTGCCTGCAATCGCTCTTGCGGCGATGCGAGATTGCTGTTTGCGAGTGCCATGTACAGTCGTTCCAGATCTGTCCAGTCCTTTTCCCGTTCTTCCATCTGCTTCTCTACAGCGAATCTGAACATTCTTATTTCGTGTTCCTGGGTCATTGTTCTGTCATGACAGTCGAGCATCACCAGTAGCCACCGCCGCGCGGCATCGGCTTGTTGATCAGTCTCTTCATCGCTCATGCCCGCGAGACGAGCGGTGTTTGCTGGACTTGGAAAGTGCTGCTGCTCTAGCTTCCGAAGTTCTGCGGGTGTCATGGAAAGTACGTCTTTGGGGTTTGTGTGCCTGTAGCCGAACTTGCGCAAGTCTCGTAGGCTACGTATGTGTGTACGCACACGACGATATACTGGCATCGTTAGCAGAAGATCTCAAGGTGAAGAGGCTCGGCGTAAATAATTTCAGAATCAATGCAGGGCATGTAGGTGAGGTACATACCTGCGGCGCTTGCCGGCGCATGGTTTATTGGCGGGACCAAATCTTGAGCTTCGGCGGACATGATTGCGCAAGCTTGTAGAGGTTACTATTGAGTTTGCCGGTCGCGGTAACTCGAGAGTGGGATGGAGTGGAAAGGTTCGGAAATGGAAGGTACCGGCCTCACGTGTTTGTTCTACCACGAGGACGGAGCGAGTGGGGCAGCCCGTTCACACCCCGCACGTGATTGGTGCCTGTTGCGCGGTGAACGAAGTATCCATACTACACACGCAGATAAGTAGGCAGGGAAAGTGCCAGAACCATGTTGCCTAGGTAGCCATCATGGTATGCTGAGGCGATCGGTAGCAGCTAGTCACCTGGACAGTCCTGCCGAATGTGCCTCTCAACCTTCACGTCGCAAAGTCCAAGTGCATCCTTTGTTTAATAAGAAATAGATTTCACAATCAAATACTAATGCCAAACCCGATTACCTGGTTATGCGCCAAAAGTATTTACGGGTGAAGCTATCCTTTCCCCGAACTACCCGAAGCAATGAGTGCGCCTATCTTTCGAAGCCACTGTAAGTCCAACTGCTTTGTCTCTGACCTCTCATACCCCCTCTGCATGGCCAGCTCACCCGCAAACCATTCCGCCGACTTTTGTATCCAAGAGTGCCAGTACAATTGGTCCTCAATGTTGTTACGCTCTTCCTCGTAGTTACGAAAAAGTTCCTCATACTCCGGTTCGGGAAATAACTCTGTGCGACAGTAGGGGCAAAGATGGCTAGCCCCTTGCCCAGCATGAATCCAGATTTCCAGACACTCCTTATGATAGGCATGTCGGCAAGGAACAGTCAGTACTCCGGGGGAGGGGCAGATATCTGACCGACAAACTACGCAGTCCACGCCTTCTGGGTCCTCTATCTCTGTGGACACATCGGTGACAGGAACCATCGGGCCTACCCGTTCCATTTCTGACGCTTCCGATAACCTTTCTTCGATTTCGTAGTGTTGCTGGTTATAGGCCATCTCAATCCGTTGCAGTTCTTCGGTGAGATCGAATTCCACTGGTATACCAAATTTCTCCCGTATTTGACGCATGCTGGCTTCGTATTCATCTAGCGACTTTCCGTAAAGACGACACTCGTTGAATATAAGTCGCTGGATGAAGGCGTAGTCGTTGCATCGACCGAGGCGGCCATCGAGAGCGTCTTCGGTTGGGTAATTAGTCCAGACAATTCCCTTGACATTGTGGAAGGCTCTAAGAAGTGCAGTGAAGGCTTCCACTGTAGCTCTAATATCCTCAGACCAATGTGACCGAGGAGTGGTTGCAGCAGCGTCCAGAAGAGTCAGGGTGTGAGCCTTACCCATTGAACGCTTGATATGGCCATTCCAGTTGGCGTACATTGGGCTGTCTTTTCCAAAACGCTGGTCAAAAAGCTCCTCCATGCTGTCACGTAGAAATATCGCGTTCCAATCATCGTCATCTGTCCAGGTAGCGTCTTCCACGTCATCGATTTCCCGGATGGACCATGTATCAAATACTCCGGTTTGAGATGGTATGGGCTGAGACGGAAAGCCCAGACGTTGCAACGGGGCACGGAACACGGCGGTCAGAAACTCTTGCGCCTCCGTTGGGCCTCGTGGAAAAGCATATAGTTTGGTTGTGAGAATGTGGTTGAAAATGCTGGTAATCGGGTTTTCGCTCATCTTGTTTCGGTGTCTTCGTGTTGCTCGAATGAAGCGGCCTGGAATTTGTTTGCTGTTGGGTTGAACTCGTGAAGAATTTTGTCGCCATTTCATTGCCTGCTCTGACAATCTGTCAGAATACAACGTGCGTCGTAGTATCGGAGGCACATTGTGAGAAAGGTCTGCTAGCATGCGCAACGTAAGACGACATTGCCAAACAGGCAATGCAGAGTGAATGACAGTATAGGGGATGTCCATATGGTTTTCCAGTTGATATCCTCAATGATCCTCCTGGAGTAGTCGGAACTTTGAAGAGGATCGCGCAGCAACCAGATCGACGAAGTGGTGAAAGCTTTCGCTCATACAATGGCCAAAGTCTCCACACTCTCCGCCTCTTCATCCCAACTGTACAGTGTCCCTGTGCCAACTCTTCTGAACCGACCCTGCCCGTTCTCGGCTGCCGCCAACACCAAAACGTCGACGAAGGAGACTTCGAATTGCTTCCTAGTAAATCCTTTGACGAAGGTGAGCTCCTCTGGGATATGTGTAACCCTCTCCAGTACTGGGATTTTCGTAAGGCCAACAAAGGAACCACCATACGCGGGATGATCCATCGGAAGTCGGCACGTCAACCTGCGGTCCAACTCTTCGTCTGAGGGGAAAAGACCGAGAGGCGGGCCAGGTAGAACACCATGCTTTCGATCGTCATAGACCCAAAACCCAGCCGAAGTACCGCCTAGACTACTCGAATTGGAGAGCTGTAGTCTACCCAGACCTAGTACAAGTTTCGAGGTTGCAAAGGATCCTGCCAACTGAAATTCGAAACGTTCGGCGTTCCATAAAGCTTTCACGCAGCGAGCTTTGATACTGAATTTTGCGTTGGTGACGGATCCAAAGGAATTCGTGCCGTCGACTTGTGTACTCGCTTCGATTATCTGGATGGGCGGAGGAATAAATTCGTGGGAAGCTAGATAGGGGGAAAGCCAACCTATTTTCCCATCAACGCTGGCCCAGCTCCAAGAAGGCGCTCGATATTTTGGCGCTCTCGCGGGAGGATCGCGAGGATCTATTGTGATAGTGTCCCAGAACAGCGAACGCTCCAACTCTTTGCGCCAGTGGCCCGCGAGGTAGTCATCATGTGTAATTTCCTGGACGCGTGACGCTATGCCTGCCATGGCTGGGAGCTTGTCCGAGGGGAATGTAAGCTGACGAGAGTTGTACTCGGATACTATGGAGTACCACAGGCTGTGTATTGAAAATCGTATGATGTATAGGAGGAACGTGTAGAACTCGGGGTCGTCGCTCGGCCGGAACGAGGTCGGCGGAGTACGAGTGCGATACACAGGTGCGCGCAGATCGAGGATATGATCGGCTTTTCCGCCTTGAGTAACATGAACCAAAACGGGCAGTGACTCTGACGTACTAAGGCAAAGATCTTCGTCAACAGCATCCCCCTGATTAACGGTACAGACGAAACCGCCTTTTTTTGAACATATTCCTACTTCCTCGTCATCCTGATCCTCTGGGCCCTCAAGGAGCCAGGACCTCTCGTAGACCCTGGTTAGTGCTTTCAGTCCCGTTCGTACGTTCAGGGAGTTCCTCACGCCGATGAGATGCCCTGCGTGATCCTTATAAACTTCACCGCAGCACCAAATCACCTCATGTTCAACAAAACAAAGCGACCTTCGGGATAGGTACCTCTCCTGCATCACCCATGCCCTTGTATTCAAAATATTGAATCTCGCTTTGTCTGTTGGCTGGCGCATACGCCCATCGACGAAGGTGAAGGCAGTGAGGAAAGCTTGGCCTTTGTGGTTCCCGAACGATGGGGGTAGTGGGACAACATCGTTCCTGAAGTTCCCAGATGGACGAAAAGGAACAAAGAGTCCGGTTGAGGAGTCATTGGAGACTGATGCTGCCAGTGTCAGGGTGCTATCATAGTAGATTGAGCCCATGAGCGCAGACTGCTCTTCCCAGTCGACTTTGGAATCTTGCACAATGCACAGCCTATCGATGAATATATACTTGATACCAAGCTGACGACAGGTAATTATGGCGTCCTTGAATGTCTTCGGAAGCGTGGACCAGCCTATGGCATGCATATGTGCTTCCAGATTCTTAGTCGTGGTCATCCCTTCTCTTGAATGGCCCCAACAATGACTCAGTGCCGCATAGCGAGCGTAGATACTCTCTCCCCGTACAAGATACGGGTTTTTACCCTCTTCGGCCACGTGTATCACCCGCTTTGGCAATTCTGGGATATCATGGCCACACATTGTGTGGTTGGCCTCACAGTTAGCCAGCCAGCGCTTGATGACGTCGAAATACGCCTGGGAAGGCAAGTCGTTCAGTTGGACGCGACCGAAAATGAAGGAGTGTGCTTTGCCGGGCAGGAAGGGCTCTGAGCCTAACGCGTCACCTAGGGAAGATGATTAGATAATGGAGGATACAACGACATGCTTTATTACCTTCCTCGACCGACAGAATCAAAGAAGCTACCATCCATTTCGACTTCATCCAGATACCTACGTGTGAAGCGCCTTCCCTCTCCGGCTGCCACGGATAAAGATCGCCGGGGACGATTTGCAATTTTACAGAACTTCCTTCGCGATCTTCACGAGAGGTGATGCAAACATCGGTGGCGCCTTCAAAACGAAGTTCTGGCTGCCTTGTATGCTCCTTGGGTTCATTGATGGAACCGTACAGCATCCTGCAGAGACGGCAGCCTGCAATTGAAGCCTGCAGTACAGCCATGTTATCGGCATGACGATAGAAGTTCGGGGGATAGAGATTGGCGAAAGTTAGACCGCTGCAAAGATAGCAAAGTGACATTGTGATGGCATGGAGCTGTAATCCGATGACGAAGCAGACGTTGAGCGCGAAGGACGGCCATTGTGCTGCCTCATGTTCGCTAATGCGGGGCAAAGGCTGTTCTCAGCTAAAGCGGCTCGTTACAGTATGAGCCTGTATGGATGTAATGCAATCACAACACATTGGCATAGGAGGACGAGTATGTAAACCAAGATAGGATGTGCGATATAAAAGATACAACGAACTCAGACATCAGTAGCAGCGTCGAGACTGTCGCGGCCTAGTGCGTTGGGGAGTCTTGGCGCGCGGGAAGAGCCGCAATTACTCTGGCATCACCGAGACGCGACCAAGACATAGCACATATACCCCTCGATCGCCCTTTCCTTGCGCACAATGACCCGATAGTTGCTTCTTCTTCTCCTCTTCTTTAAATCACTCACACTCTCTCACCATGGCGTCGGCGGTGTTTTTTCTCGACCTCAAGGGCAAGGTATGGCGGTCAGGCCTCTGGGAGGGCTACTTATTGACCATCGCATAGACCCTTCTGGCGCGCAACTACCGCGGTGACATCCCCATGTCAGCCGTCGAGAAATTCCCCATTCTACTGAGCGAGGCCGAAGACGAGAGCTCGGCAGTCCCACCATGCTTCTCCAGCGAAGGCATCAATTACCTCTACATCCGCCACAACAACCTATACCTCCTCGCCCTTACCAAGCGGAACACTAATGCGGCCGAGATTCTCCTGTTCCTCCACAAGATCGTCGAGGTCTTTACAGAATACTTCAAAGAGCTTGAAGAAGAGAGCATAAGAGACAACTTTGTCGTTATCTACGAACTGCTAGATGAGATGATGGACTTTGGCTACCCGCAAACCACCGAGACCAAGATATTGCAAGAGTATGCATTCCATTCAGCTATGCCATGGCCCCATAATAACAACAAGTCTGCAGATACATCACACAAGAGTCGCACAAGCTCGAAATCGCACGTCCACCCATCGCAGTCACAAACGCCGTCAGCTGGCGAAGCGAAGGCATCCGATACCGCAAGAACGAAGTCTTTCTCGACGTCATCGAATCGCTCAATCTCCTCGTTTCCGCGACCGGCAGCGTGCTACGATCGGAGATTCTGGGTGCTGTCAAGATGAAGTGCTACCTGTCGGGTATGCCTGAGTTGCGACTAGGTCTGAATGACAAAGCCATGTTCGAGACCACCGGAAGGGCTACACGAGGAAAGGCCGTTGAGATGGAGGATGTCAAATTTCACCAGTGCGTACGGTTATCGAGATTCGAGAACGACAGGACCATCAGCTTCATTCCACCAGATGGCGAGTTTGAGCTGATGAGCTACCGCCTGAACACACAAGTCAAGCCTCTCATCTGGGTAGAGTGCATAGTCGAGAGCCATTCAGGTAGCAGGATCGAGTACATGCTGAAGGTAGGCAGGTCCCTGATTACCAGATTTGATAGACTGACACTCTTTAGGCACGAGCGCAGTTTAAGCGACGAAGCACCGCCAATAACGTCCAGATCTCGATTCCTGTCCCCGAAGACGCTGACACCCCTCGCTTCCGCACAAACATTGGCACCGTACACTACGCGCCTGAGACATCCTCCATAGTGTGGAAGATCAAGCAGTTTGGTGGTGGCAAGGAGTTCCTCATGCGCGCTGAACTTGGTTTGCCATCGGTGCGCGGTGATGACGAGAAGGGTGGCGGTATGATGGGAGGCTTCGGTGGTAGCATGGGTGGTGTTGGCGGCGGAAAGGCCAAGAGGCCCATCAATGTCAAGTTCGAGATTCCGTACTTTACCACATCAGGTATCCAAGTGCGGTATCTGAAGATCATCGAGCCAAAGGTAAGGACAAAGCATCGCAATCGAATAGGCAGTGGCTAACATACGCGCAGTTGCAATACCCGTCGCTACCTTGGGTACGATACATTACACAGTCAGGCGACATCGCTGTGCGGTTACCCGATGTGAACTAGGTACTGCTAAGAGGGCGCTGGCGATGAATATATCAATACGACTATGAAACATGCATTCCATGTGCACTGCATCGTTGAATGCGTCTCATGACGAGATACGATGGCATCTGACTACGAGTGAGGAATTGTAGGGTCTGAGGAAGTACCAATCGACTTGGCGCATTCGTCAACGTGTTGTGCCTGACATGCACGTACACGACATGCTAGTACCAAACTCCATATGCGACATAAGACAACGTACCTCCATGCAGTGTAGCTATGCATGCGCTGTCCGCCTCATTGTGTTTGCAACCTTATGAATTGCTCAACTTCCTAACTTTCATCTTACCAGTTTTGAGGCTGGTTTCGGTCTGACATGAAAACGATGTTATCATTACGAGACAATGATTCAAGGGTAACATGGCATGATAGTCTTGCAGCTACTAAAGGTCAATCAGCGTCACGAGACGGTGTATTACTCAATTCTAATATCAACAGGACGCGTACACTGTCGCACACAAGTCATACTCGAGTGTAATCGAGTAGCGATGGTGGTGTCAGAGTGAGCGTCTCGTCGGTGCTTGTGCCTCCGTCTCCGCCGATGATCGACAGTGGGGTCTCTGCATCATACGTTTGCGTGTAGTTCTCTCGACTCAACCTCAACTTGCGACGCTTCATTGCCAAATTGAATGCGCAACGAACACAATGGCTGCAGCTGCCTGATCGTGTTGAGCCGTCCTAATCTCAGTTCGTCCCTTTGACAACGCGAGAGACGCACGCAATTCCAACAACCGACATATGCACGCGCGGTAATACCACAGCACGTTTCTCCGCGTTTTCTCCCCACCTCCATTCTCCGAAAAAGCACGCTGCAGCACATCTCACGCCGCCCTTTCTGTTTATAGTCGCAAGCCCATTTTTCGATATACCCATCTTACCCAATCACCCATTGCCCTGTCCATGTTCGGCCAATGCAAGTTCGTCGTCAAGCTTTGATCGCCTGTTTGCGAACTCCACTACGCTCCGCTTCGGCATGCCACAAGGCTGAAAGCCTGACCCTGCATCACCACCATGCCAATGACGATTTTTCGGGAAACGCGTCAGACTGCCGAGACAGTACGTGTATAGGCTTGCAGACGCGTAAGCTTGTAAGCGTTGTTGCTTGTCATCTCTGATCCTACGCTTCTTTACCATCCAGCGTAAGGTGGACTAACCTCAGCTGAGCCTCGCGGGCCCCCTCCGGACGCGTTTCTATGACGGAGTAGCAGGTAAGCTATGATGGCGTCCAATGAACGAGTGGGCCGCGTATGTCGTGTCTAAGGGTATTTGTATGCTGCGGTGTTCGCGTGTTGGAAATGTTGTTTTGCAGTTTCGGATACACAGGCACGACACTGACAGGTCTGGGTATCGTTACACGGAGTCAAGCACCGCATACTGTTTGTTACTACATCTACACGACATAACAACAACGTTTCTCCAAACACAGAAACAAACATCACGACGCCAATACCACCACCATGAAGTTTACCTTCACAACCATCACAGCGCTCATCGCGCCTATCCTCGGTCAAAGCATCACGCCTGCTCCTACATCAACTGATCCGTGGTATGGTTCCGGTCCACCATGGGCATCCTCCGACCCTGGGAAATGGTCTTCAATCTATGAATCCCTCCTCTCCGCCGGAAAGATCCCTTCGACTCTAACCGCCGCACCCTGGCCAACTGGTAGCTACGGACCGGGTCAGGGACCCTGGGGGCCTGGCGGACCACATGGCCCTGGAGGACCGGGAAGACACTGGGGAGGTAAGATAGCTTCCATTCCAATCCCTTCCTCATACCCCCTCCCCTCCCTCCCCAACCAAAACCCCTACTAACCCCCACCTCCAGGCCCAGACGGTCCCGGCCCCTTCGGCCCCTCCAACTTCGGCCCCTACAGCGACTGGTCAACACGCTCAGACTGGCGGTCCGGCCCCTGGACCGCATGGTGGGACGGCAGTGCGTGTCCGCCATCTGACTGGCCTGGCTGGACAGCAGGGCCCTGGAGTAGTTCTGCGCCCTGGACCAGCTGGAGCGGGTGCGAGGCTAGTACGACGGCGACGAGTGTTGTTACTACGACGGTTAGTGGGACGCTGGTTACGACCACGGCGTATGGGTTGCAGGTTAATGCTGCAAGTGCGGAAGTGAGTCAGAATGGGGATGCGGGGAGTGGAGCGCAGGGGACAGGGACGGTGGGGATCGGGGGTTATGTCTTGGTTGCGGTGATGGGGGTTGTTGTGGGGTTGTGAGGAGATAGAGGAGGTGGGCATGTGATGTCTATTCCCTATTATCTTGGCTAGGAACTCAGTCTTGAATCAGAGTATGTATGGTTTTGTCAGCGTATTGTCATGGACGAAGTAACGCTCTTTCCCTTTACATATCCTTATTATAATCCATCGAATACAATCTACATGTCGAATTGAGCTCACTTTTCACCTACTTGGAGAAGGGACGTGTTGAAGATCGAAAGAACGTCTCTCACAACGCTTAGATATATCTTCACAAAACCAGACGTATTCTCCCCATGTCTGGGTCTTCAAGAACTCATGCTACCATCTACAACATCCTCGTCATCTTCGCCTTCCACCCCGTCTTCTCCGCCCTCCCTTCCTCTCCACTCCCCACACTAATCCCCTCATCCACCACACCCGCTTCATCGTAGATTTCATCAGGATACACCGCCCTGTCAATGAACGTCTCCTTCGGTGGCGCAACAACCATCTCCAACAACGCATACACCAGCGCCGTCGCCGTGAAACCCAGCAACCACCCGAAGCTATACGGCCGAGCACCGACACCAGCGTCGATAGCCGGATTGATAGATTGGATGAACCCCGGCATATTCGGTGCAACGCCAACGAGAAAAGCGACGATAGCGCGCCAGTTGCAACCGCCGGTGTACTTGTAGATACCATGATACTGGTACAGCGCCAAAGTATCGTACTTCCCACGATGCACAACCCAAAAGTCCACAACCATAATCGCCGCGATCGGCCCCAGGAAAATCGCATAAGCAGCCATGAAGTTCAAAAAGCTACCCGCCGACGCGAGAATCTTCCAGGGAACAAGCGCCCAACAGAGAACCGCACAGAGGAGCTGGCCGCGACGGATATTGACGTAGCGGGGGAACAGGGCGGTCAGGTCGTTTGCGGCGGAGAGCGAGTTGGCAGAGATGTTGACACCGAGGGCGGCGAGGGCGAAGGAGAAGGCGGCGAAAAAACGGGCGGCGCGATTGTCCCAGTGGGCGATGAGGGCCATGGGGTCCCAGTCCAGAGTGCCGTATTTGACGGCGCCGGCGGATGTGGCGGCTACGCCGATGAAGGCGATGAAGGTGAAGACTATGGGTAGGAAGGGGACGTAGATGCATTGCCATTTTACCGAGACGCGAGAGTAGCGGGAGAAGTCGGACTGTGGTTACGATTAGCATGTGTCCAAAACCTTCTGCTTCGTCGAAGCCCGCAGGGGAGAGCGAATTGAACTTACCTGATTCACAGACAACGTAGCATAATTCCCAATAACACTCGTCAAACTCGACAAGAACCCCCACGAATACGCACTCCCCGTCAACGTAGCCTTCTGATTCCACATCTCACCCCCACCATCCGTACTCACAAACGCCCAGATCAAAATCGCAATCCACGCAATCGGCACAATAATACTCTTAGCCATAAACAACCACCTCAACTCATTCGGATGCATAACCAGAAACGGCACGCTGCCTAGCCAGAAGATGAAGAAACTAATCATGGTCGCTGTATCGATGCCCTGGCTCTCGGGAATACCGTTCTCCAGTGTGAGGAAGGAGGGCCAGATGGCGCCAATCATGACGCGCACGGAATTCGCGCCGTTCATGTTTTGGATGGCGAACCAGAAGATGGCCAGGATGGCGCGGGAGACGATGGCGATGTAGGAACCCCAGAAACCCCAGGAGGCGCGGGCGATGACGGGGAAGGGGACGTGGTGGAGGACGCCGATTGCGCCGTTTAGCGCGATGACGAAAGAGATTATGAAGAAGGCCAGGGCGACTATGCCGAGGGATTCGCGCCATGTGAGGCCTGGTGGTGGTGTTAGTTGATTCAGATTGTATTTGGTGGGAAAGTGGTGGATGTACCGATTGCGATGATACTGGATGCGAATTGCCATGTTGCGGCGCTGGAGCATTGTTAGCATCTCACATTTGTTGAGGTTTGACAAAGATGGGAGAAACCATACTTGAATGCATCCGACACCCAATACGAGATGAAGCTCGTCACACCCCACTTCCTACCATGCCTCGGAACAGGGTCAAGATCTTTGTTCGTCCTGTATACCATCAATCAGTACAAAAACTTCATCATCGCGCATCTCCGTTCTCAATTCAGACCTACCATCGCGCATTGCCTTCCGCAAACGTGCTCTTGGGTTGCTCAACCCTGAGCGTCCAATGCGGCTTCTCGATCAACGGCATCCTGAAGCCTACCGTGCCAACCACCAAGAACGTGGAAGGGCTGTAAAGATGGAAGGGACCTTTTATCCTTGGGGGTCTTTCCGCGCGACGGACACAAGCGCCTTCTTATCCTCTAGCAGCACGCACAGTCTCAGTGCAGATCTCCGAACAGCGGGCGCCCAGGATTGACGTTACGTCTATATCTCTGGCAAGACGACGATAAGATAAGCGCCATGAGGCCGGCCGTCAACCCATCGTTTAAGACAAGGTTGAGCAGCTGAGCTTGACTAGACGAACGCCTTGAGCCTTTGCTCGCAGCCTTTTGCTCAACAAACAGCCATTCACACAGCTTGTCATAATGGCTAGCGGCTGTACCCAAGGTCTCGGTCCTTGGGAAATGCGACCGTTGCTAGATGGGGCTGGCTGTCATTCGACGGTTGTGCAGGTGCAGATAAGCACCCCAGTCGGTTCGGTCTTAGCGAAGGCGCCGCTCGGTGGCGCTTCGGCTGAAATTACCCCAGAGAGGGTGATCCCCACGCGACGCGATAGGTACGATATCTCCTCTACAGATACACATGTACTTGGTGGTTATAGTCAAGGGACACAGCGTATCGTAGCACACACTAAGGGTGCAAGCGGTTAGAAAGGTCTGTGGAGGAGGGGAAATCAGTGTGTCTCGGTACTTGGGCCGCATGCACGTCGCTGCCGACTACTGCACATGCTGGCCTGGATTCCTGGGTCAGTCGCATAATCTCACGCATACGAGAAGTGTCGTTGAGCTGAGCGGAACGCATGTTAAGAGTCTTGAGCGGCAGATTGGATGAGGGCCATTTGGAAGAAGTTTCGTAAAGGGAAGTACGTTCAAGTTCATCGCGTTTTGCTCAATGCGCTAGCTATACATACGCCAGAGTATGGTCATCTCGGATGGTCGCATTCACGCCTAGGTGGACTTCACCACCCACGACCGATGAGCCAGTCACGACAAGCTCGCCCGCAGTTTGCTCGTCTGTTGTCTTGAGGTGTGGTGTATCCTTCAACTTAATTTCCACGCAACTGAGGGGCACACCGAAGTGGCTATGCTTGTTCGATGCTGTCTCCCTCCGGTAGTCGTAGATGTTGGTTTGCGCAACGGCTCCCACTACCTTGGCTGTGGTCAAGGCGTATACGACACGTGCTTTGGTGAAGATGCGCAGATCGGAAAGGTCCTCTGAGCTAAGTGGTGGCGTGTTCAGGCCTTGTCGCTCAGACACGAAGACCAAGCGCAGTTTCCCAGGTGTTGTGCCGACAGCCGCCCTCTTGGGCGCATTGAGCTTTGTGAGGAGGTTGTCGGTAGGCAGACGGCCAGCAGTCAACATGCGCGTCTCGAGGTAATGTGCCAACTTCTGGGGGCCACCCGTTACTGAAGTCTTCGTGGTATTGTGGAGCTTCGCAGCTGTTTCGGCTGAGACCACTGTAACTGTAGGGGCGATGGAGCGTGTAGCCAGTTCAAGATCCACACCCGGACCGGCAACGGACTGGATGACGACTGTCGCGTGAGAGAACAGAGCAACCAGCGTCAGACACAGACAGTAGGAGTGTGTAAAGGCATCTGCGGGGAGGAACGTATCCGAGGCATTTAGACGGTGGGCGGCAGGAAGGGACGTGACAAGCGCACCAACGGCGGCGGTCAGATTCTGTTCCTATCAGTACGTGCATATGTCAACATGATGATCTTACTTACCTGTTGCGTGAATTCGACGACCTCGGCCGGCTTTCCAACGGCCTCTTGCCAGAGGAAGACAACATCTCGAGGCTTGCCGGGATTCGACGGCAGCGGTATAGTGGCATTCTTCTGTTCCTGTACGAGCTCATGCCAAACAGCAACATCGATCTTTCCGCCGATGCCTTCGGGTACCTCGCTCCAGTCCATGTGCCTGCTTGTCTTCTCTACAGTCCAGACGATGGAGCGCAGGCCGGACACGCCCTGACTGAGTTCGGCAAGAGGCACAGAGCCTGCCTCGGCAATGAGGGCATCGGCTTTCGTTTGAAGGAGGAGTTCGGCAAGGGTTTCGTGTGGTTGGTTGTATGGGATCAAGATGGGCGTGAAGTCGAAGAAAGCACCAGCAAAGAGTGCGGAGAGGAACTCGAGACTGTTGGGGAGGTAGATGGCCACTCTCTTAGCACCACGATCTTGAAGATGCTTTCCGAGGATAGCGATCTCCTTGGTAATGTCTTCGACCTTGTGCTCGGTGACGCCTTCCTTTCCGAAGACGGTCATGATGTTTGCAGTGCCGCTAGACTTTGCGCCCTTCTCGAGAGGAATCTCGCCCGTGACACGTCGCCAGATATCCCGAAGATCCCCATCTTTGCCGGCAGAGTACATGGGAGCGCCTGGGGGTCTTACGGCAAGACCGGTACGGAGAGGATCTGCTGAATGTCAGCTGGAACGTCTGCAAACCTATGGTGGGGCGCTCGTACAGCCATGAGGAGTTTCGGGGGAGCGGAAGACAGCAGACTCTCCCGGCTGCCTCACGTATGAAGCTACTGCCTGTCTTGCGAGCAGCAGCGGGTGTGTGTCGGCATCGGCGCTGTCATAGATGACCCAGGCCAGGAAGCCGACGATGGTGAAGGCGATGAGAGTGCTGACAAAGTTCCAGCCTGCGAGTACCTCGCCGATGGTCTGATCAAGCTGCTCTAGAGTGCCCGCCATGGCTGAAGTCGCATGAGTGAAGTGAAGTCGGAGGTTTGGCTGGCAGCTGCGGGATGACGGCGGGGGTGAATTGGTCCGCTAGTGAAGGGACCCCTGTCGGCTCGCATGTCCGTCCTCCGATCGCCCTTGCCAAAACATGGCTGCTGTACAACCACGCTGACCTTCACCACCGCGGCACCCTTTGGCAGACGGAATGTGCCTGTAGCCGCGCGACGCTATCAAGACTAACTACTAACCCAGCAGCATCAGTGAAAGTGTAGTCCGACGCGCGAACCAGTCCATCTCTTGCGACTCCCTTTCGGCCAAATAAACAATCAACGCGAGTAGCTAAAAGCTTCACACAACATGTCGGTAGCCCGATACGCGCAGCCTGCGACTCCGCAAAAGGTCGCGACACCATCCGCCCATACAGAACAGCCATATACGCCCAATGGCTCCTGGCGACATCCCAAGTTTGACGAGATTGCGCGCCGCCAGTACGCTACCACGTTTGATGAGCGCAACGTCAGGGCCATTGTCCTGAATGCAGGCTTCCTGTTTCTCTCGGTATATGGTACTAGAGTCACTGAGAAGGTGAAGCTATTGGAATACGCTGCGTATGTTCCTTACCAACTGCCAACGTGGGTCATGCTAACATGCAGCAGAACGCCGATCAACGCTGTCGTCAAAGCTGTTCCCTACAGCGCATGGGCCGTCCTCCTCGTCCGCATCGTATTCACCGCAAACATCGTCATCGCGTTCCTCCCTCTCATCCGTCGCTACTACCCCGATGAAATTGCCGACATACCTCTCACCCCTTCACAGCGCGCCTCCATGGGCTTGAAGGCTGGCGTCCAGGCGCCCCAATCGCCAGGCTCTGCCTTCGCATCGCCGAACTATGTCACGCCTCCTCGGTACCAGCGATCGACGCCGCGCAGTAACAGCTTCAGCAATCAAGAATACAGCTCCGGGTCGCCAAACTTCGGAAGGTCTGGTTCAGGCTCACCTTTTTCACCAAACAATGGAGGAAACTTCCAGAGATCAATGAGCGGGTCTTCTGCGACGAAGCGGTTGAGCTATGGTGGCAGTTCAATGAGCAGTAGCTTGTTCGGTGACAGCTCAAGCAGCATGACGGCACCGGGCACCCCTACGCCCTCCACTGGCAAAGCGAGTGTCGGACTGAACAGCAAATGGCTGTACGAGAAGCGGAGAGACAGCCGAAGCGGAATGTTTGCGCAGTAGACTGTCATAGGGCATGACGAACAGAGACGTGGCACGGCAACATATCGCTTTATACCCTGATATATCGCGTGGGCGTTTTGAGTGATTTATTTAGTCTAGCATAGCTTGGAGCTGGGGCATTGGAGTCGCCAACCTGCTGGTGTACGATAATACAAAGAGCGGAATCTTCCATGCCATAACGCCATTGATGCCTCGTATCTACGTGAGCTCACTCCAATAGGTGCTTCAACCTTGCGCTGTATCATAAATACCCATAACATCCTCTTGTGTCATACCTCATGAGAACCGATCTCCCTTCCGACTCCGATACACCTCAGGCGCCTCATACTTGCTCTTCTCGCCCACCCTCTGCCCCTCACTCTCAGGCGCATGTCTCGTCGGCGCCGGATCCTGACTAGCCTGCATACTGGGGTTGCCCTCACCCCCCGTACCCCCATTCCCTCCTCCCTCTGCCCTCAGCCTGCCCACCTCGCTCGTCACGCTCTGCGGCGCCGCCTGTGTAGATCCTGGTTTCGCAGTTGGGTTCAGCGGTGTGGTGGTCGGAGCGGAAGTTTTTAAGCCGTGCTCGAGTTCGTAGAGGCGGATGCGTTTTTGGCGGTCGGCTTCGGCTTTTGCGGCGCGGTCGGCGTTTATGCTGCGTTTGGCGAAGAAGTAGGCGCCGCCGCCGGCTACTATTAGGGTCGCCCAGCCGTAGCTGTGGGTGGTGTTAGGATGGGTTCATTGGGGCTTTTGGTGGGATGGTGTTGGGTTTGGCACGTATGGGGTGGGTGGACTTGTGGGTGTCTGCGAGAGGTGTGACGTACTATACTGATTTGACCTGTTCGACTGTCAGTGCTGATGACCGGGTGGAAAGTACACGTGGAGCTTACTGTGTTCATGGTGTGTTGTGAATTATCGGTCTGAGAAGGGAATTGGTGTGTGTGGAAGCTTGTGGCGGCTTTGCGACAGCTCGCAAGTTTTCTGAGCGATGGATGATGAAAGTGGTCTGATTGTTGTAAGGCTGCCGGCGATTGTTCGGCGATTAGACAAGGATTCGCCGCGGGGAAGAACAATCGACTGGTACAAGTTAACTATCTCTAGTACACGACCTTTTCACTGCTTGTCGCAATTGGACCTGGTGCCCAGAATCTCTCTGGGATGCCATCATCGCTTGCCCTCTCTCTAAGAGCAATATGACGAGACTCGCGCCATCTGATTTGCACTGACAGTAGCACGTCTCAATAACAGCATTACTGTTCATGACACTCAGAGCATCTTGCCATTGCAAGAAATACTGGGGAGACCCGCAATGGAATTTGTCAACGATCATTGTTGATAACACGTAGGAGCCTGTTATCTGCGGCGACAAGCTGTGCCTTCTAGTCTCACTCCATCGGGTCTGTCACTTGGTCAGACGAAAGGATTCTAAAGCCACAACACTTTTGACCAAGGATGCTCTCACTCCAAATCTACTGACCACAGACAAAGCGCTATCTCGAGCTGGATGAAAGTCACAGCAGTACCTGAGCCATCTCGAAAGAATGGACTTGCTTTGTGAAAGTGTCAAACCTGCAGGATCATCATCGCTGCAGCAAACTGACTTTGAAGAGAAGGTGCAACACTTCGGGAGGATGGCAGCGACACCAACGAAGAAGAAGCAATGCTCACAGCATCGCCTCTACAATACGATCGCTTAATACACTGCTCGCTGCATCGTTGAGTCCGGAAGTCCGGCATGATGCGCGACAGAGATGCCTCAGGAGTGCGGAGATGACAGGTGCAATTCCTGCGTCTGCGCTATCGCAACATCGAGCCCCTTTGCTTAGGCATTGTCGACAGAGACCAACAGGCGACTCTACGCGAGAGACTGTGAGCCTATCTGCCGACAGCGCGGCGTTCCTGCTCCAACGGGTGGCCCCACAGCCATGTAACGGGAAGATCCACTTTAACGGGCGCCTGATCTCGAAACACCAACATCCCGAGGCTCTTCGCATTTCATGGGACCGCCACTCACCATCTGCTGTTCCTTCGCACGAGCATAGTTTCCGGAATTGAGCCGGACATACGGCATGGCACTGTGCCAAGCCGTCGTGTTTGCATGTGGCGTGCGACGTTCTGATTCGAAACTTGACTTTACGGTCGTCGAAACCTCCCACGCCTCATCGCTAGCGTACTACGGCAAAACGGAGGCTGAATTGTTGGTTCAATGAGCGCTAAGTGACGGAGGGCATGATCTGGTCCAGGTTCTCGAAGTTTGAAGCCTGTGGAGCAGCCTCACCACAGCGCCTTTACGTCCATGACAGGCTAGGTGTTCCCGTGCAGGAGGTACCATAAGCTCCTGCGAAGTCTATCCAGGGTGCTTATTCCTTACTTGGCGGTATTCCGTACTCCACTCTTTCATTGCCAAGTCTCTACTCAGGCGCCTAGGCCAGCACGACCATACACCAAACCCTTGACCTATACCGAAGCACGTCTCATGCAAGTGGACACCACCATGGTTGTCGAGTAAGGGATTTCGCGATGTGGTGGTTCGACTGGTCATGGAGGATGGTATATAGATTACCATCTGTTCCACTGCTTGTAATCTATCTCCATCAACGGTCTTCACTTCTTCACAGCTCGACGCTAGTCCTTCTTTACTCCACATTCTATTCTATTCTCAGCGCTGAGCGCCAACTTTATTTTAACTCCAATCACTATGTACTTCGCTGCCTCTTCCGTTGCGCTTGCCGCTCTCTTCACCACCGTGCACTCGCACGCAGCTATCTTGGCCGCCGTTGGTGACTCTGGTGAGAGTCAAGGTTTCTTGGTCGACCCTGCTATTGCTCGCAACTGCACCACCATCTCTCCTTGCCAGCAGGATGCTACCATCATCCGTGACGAAGAGATCAAGCAGAACATTGTCAACGCCTGCGGAAGGACTGAAATCGCCGGTAACATCGACATTGGCGAGCAGACCGAGAACGAGCTTGCTGCTGGCCGTATGGCTCAAGTCTCTGGCGGCTCCATGCTGGCTGTCACCATTCACCAAGTCAACGCTGATGGTGCCGGCCCATTCGAGTGCGACATGGACGAGACTAGCAACGCCGTCACCACCTTCACCCCCCTGAAGGTGTCCAACAACATCCCCGGATCTTTCGGTCTCTCCCAGGCCAAGGAGAAGGACTTTGTCATCAACGTCCAGATGCCCGACAACTTCAACTGCCTCGGTGCTTCCACTGGAGACATTTGCACTATCCGATGCCGCAACAACGCTATTGCCGGTCCCTTTGGTGGATGCTTCGCCGTCCAGCAAACTGACGGACAAGGTCGCACCGACAAGGCTGCCTCTGGTAAGTTCCACATTTCTATCATCATCAGAAAGCGTCTGCCCTATCCTGTATCCATACTCACTGCCGCTAGCTGTCGACACTGCTCAGACACTTGAGGGTATCTCTGCACAAATTCTGCAAAACAAGAAGGATCTTCCTGCTGCTATCGCGGCGAACCAGGCTGCTGGTGCTGCGGGTGGCAACGAGGGTGCCAGTGCCATTTCCGGTGCGTTGCTTTTTCATCCGTCACGTCTTTACCTTCATGAAGTTCATGCTAACGTTTCTCTCAGCTCTTATCCCTGACGCTACTCAAGCTCCCAACGCTGGCAACGGCAACAACGGTGGCAACAACGGCGGTAACCAGAACAACGGCAACCAAGGCCAGGGCCAGCAGGGTCAGGGTCAAGGACAGAACCAGGGTCAAGGCCAGCAGAACCAAGGTCAAGGTCAGAACGGTCAGGGCCAGGGCCAGGGCCAGGGCCAGGGCAACGGACGCCAAAACCAAGGCCAGGGCCAGGGTCAGCAGGGCTTCGGCGGCCAAGGCAACCGTGGCGGCAACAGGTTCAGGCGCGCCCTCAAGTTCTTCAGCTAAGCGCCTCACCCTGACGCAACACGAAGAACAACAAACAAACACACAGTGAACAGTACATAGCCGATTGAGGTTGGTTGCAAAAAGCGCGAGAATTATAAAGGCTGGTCCGTTTTTTACATTACTTACCACAACCAACAATGTATATACCCTTTTTTAGTTACATATGGAGATATAGTAAAGGAGGATGGAGAGTGAATACAAGACTGCTTCACCAATACTTTGTCTATGATGTGTCTTAATCCGGGCGTGATTGAACTTACGGATAGATACCTGCTAATCTGATGTGGTCATATGCTCTAGGACCCTCGTAGATCAGTAGTCTTGCCCTCCACCTATACGAGCCATGCTTTCACCCTACCCATTCCCTTCCCGCTAAAACTCGTCCTTTCCACCACCAACGACATTCGCTCACACTGCAAACATTAGCATGTTCACTCTCCATGCCAAACTCCATAGCAAGATACTTTCACCCAGCCCCCGCTGACTATATCATGTGCATTCCATCTTCTCCTAAGCACTCTTCATCTACACCCCCAACTCACAACCAACAACTACACTCCTACAACACCCTACAACACCCTACAACACCCTACAACATGAACCCTTTCGGCAACTCAGGCGGTGACGATTTCTTCGGTGGCATGGGCGGCCCCTTCGGCGGTGGTCCAATGGGTGGCTCCGGCGGTGGCCCCATGGGCGGTATGGGAGGCATGATGGGAGGTGGTCCCCCTCCTATGATGGGACGCGGTGGCATGGGCGGCGGTAACCCGCGTCAAGGCGGATACTCCTTCTCTTCGACCTTCGATTCTTCCCGTCCAGAAGGCCAACAATATCAAGAACACCACGAGCCTTTCGGTGACTACGCTGGCGGCCGTGGTGGCGGCGGCGGACCTATGAGCGGCATGGGCGGCGGTGGCGGTGGTAGTCAAGATCCTGCTTCTCGTAGTGGCCGTGGCCTCATGTTCTCCGGTCTCTCGCGCGCAGACAACCCGTTCCGCCAGTCACGCACCACTGGTGCGAGCCGCGCCCAAGAAGGGCCTAGCTACGGCCAACAGCGCTACATGGACGATTACGCCCGCGGTGGTGCTAACGACCCGCGATATGGAGCTGGATACGAAGATCCGCGTGCCGGTGGACAGTATGGTCATGGTGGAGGTCCTGGCCGTATGTTTGACTATGGAGGTTCTCGTCGTCAACAGCCATCTGGTCAGCAGGGCTACTACGATGATGACTCAGATTCAGAGCATGAAGGTTATAGGCCGCAGCAGCGTTATGCTCCTCAGCAGTCTTATGGTGGTGGTAATGGTGGTAGTTCGCGTCGTGCTGGCGGTGGTGGAGGAGGTGGTGGACGCCAGTTTTTCAACTTTGATCGTAATGGGAGGAGGAATAACTAAAGGGGATGAAAAGCTGCGGAGGTATAAGCCCGCGCTATTGTCGCTTTAACTTTTCTTTTCGAGCCGGACGAGCTGAAGTAGCTTGAATGGCGTTGACGTCTGGATAGTTTTTCTTCCAAGACAGCTTCCGAGAGCTTTGCTCGAAGATAATGCAAATTTGTAGTATGAACTTTAAGATTGTGGAAATGATGACGATGATAGCTTGTGTGAGACTGCAGTATACATCAGCTTACCATGGTGATACCTAGAGACTCTGCAATGATGACCACAGTCGTCGATGCCGACATTCTCGTTGTCTACCTGGCGAAAGGGATTGGTAGTCGCTTAAGAGAGTGACAAGGAGTTGCAGACGAAGCATTAAAGAAGCTGCAGATGCGACCTATCCAGACCAGTCAAGGCAAGAGAATCACAAGTGTTGCCAATCATCGCGACGTTGGGTAGTCACAGAAGAAGAAGTCGCGGCGAGGTTGCCCAAGGCCCCTGCCACGCCCATCCACCAATCAGCATCAGGTCGTTCCTGCTGACAGCCACCCTTGCTCCGCGAGAACCGCCGATTCGTGACTGCGAGCAAAGATGTCGTGACCAACTGCTCACCAATGCGCTGTATTGTGCCAAGAAGGATCTTTCTGCATCCCGGTAAAAGCCTCTACCGTGCAAAGGCGGCGGCTCGCGCGTACTCGCGCGAGGGTGGTGTGACCCGGATCGCCTGGACCCTGAGGCATCCTCGCGAATGCACGCCTGAGGAAGTACATTACCGCAGAAAGATGAATAGAAATTCTTAGCGAGCACACTCAACGTTTACCATTTCTATCAGTATGTATGGTATGCGCCTTTGTAAGCCGAACTCGCAAGACACTCGAGGACGCTTTCAAAGCAAGATATAAGCAACTGGAACAATCCCTAGCGTCAAGGCAGCCCTAACCGCAGCCCACAAAAATGGTGACATTTGACTCCGCCTGCATACGTCGCTCATCTCCACGTGCAGGTCAGCCGCGGCCGTAGTGCGAAGGACCGTTCGTTCACCCCTTGCTCAATGGCCTCAGGGCAGACGTCCTAGGCAGCCATCTTGAAACGTATTAATATCACCCGACGCCCCCATGCTACTATCTTCTTATACCTGTTCTGAAGAAAGAACATCAAGTCCAAACCACAGAGCACAGAATTACCGACACAACCAAGACCCCACACGCGCCGACACCACCGAACCTTCCTGGCCCCACATTCCGAGATCATCGACCGTAAGGCTGGTCACACGCGAGCATCTATAATCACGATCGCAACAACGACGATACAAAGGCACAACGAACCATCCAGCGATTCGCAAACACTCTAAGATCCACGATCCAAACTAAACGACACAAAATGGCAATCTCAACACACGCCCTCTCCCACCTCCGCACATACTCTACGCGCCATCTCCCACGCGACCCACACTACCGCCTCAAAGCCACTTTAGCAACAAGCTATGTAGTTTCGGCTCTTGCGCTGCCTTTTGTGCCGCCGCTTTTGGAGACGAGGAGGGCTAAGGCGGATGGGAGTTATTTGACGAGGTATGTTTGTTTGGTTCTTGAATCTTGGTTGGGGAAGGAAGGCGGGATACCTACCGGATTGGGAAGGAATGCGAGCGATGGGAGGGGTGATTGATTTAAAATGATTGAGGAGTTGAGCGCTGACGAGTGAGTAGGGAGAACGCGTACTGTTCGTCACAAACTCTTGGGTGTGCGCGGTGAGGTGGTTGGTTTATGTGAGTTGATGAGGGGTGGGGCGTGTGAGATTATGGCTGACGTTTATTGCAGACTTCTTTTGCAGCCTTGTATTGGCTACACATTTACTGCGATGCTTTCCCACATACCCGGCGTTCGTTCGTTCTTGAGAGAGAATCTATATAGATACTGTGATCCGAAGCTGTATGTGTTGCACGAGCACATATCGCTACTGCTGGTGATCAGCACAATACTTTTGATAATACATGCATCATTAAAACTATTTTTTAAAGCCAATAATGCACAGGAATACACTATTGTAGTTGCTCACAGACTACCGAATTCGAACATGAACAGCTATCACTCTCCCGAGACTGCTTAGTCAACGTCATCGTTGTTGGTGCTGGTGTTGGCGGGCTGTTCTTGAGTTTCCACCGCGTCGTGCATCTCGTCATCGTCGTCATCCTCATCCATATCCTCTTCCATATCACTATCAAACTCGTCCTCAGTAGCCACCTCCCACACGGTTGTGAATAGCTCTCCGTCGTCCTCGAAGACAGGGTTGCCGTCCTCGTCAAACACCGGATTACCGTCTTCGTCGATATACTGTTGAACGACATCATCGTCTAGCTCAAGATCGAGCGCCATATCATCATCCTCGTCAAGGTCATCGACCTCGAAATCCTCATCGCTATCGGCCGATTCTTCACTTCCATCATCCGAGCCGAATATTTCCCTGAATGATGGGAGTCGGTGGCCGCGATTCACGAGGCTGTGCTTCATGGTGAGCGTAAGACGACGCGTCTTCGATTTCAACAGGCTGATATCCACATCGCTTAGTTGGTCCGTTTCGGCCTCTTCTCTCGCAAGCGAGTCAGTCGTCTCTCCGTCCTCATCTGTCACTTCTTTCCGGATGAAACTCTTGAAACCTTCCATGCTCGCATCGTACAAGCATTCGATAATAGGAACGCGCTCTTTGTGCAGGTACGGTGGTATTAAGCCTTCGCTTTTGTGTAGTTCCAACGACATCTTCAGGTTGATGCCAGCCTTGTACAGCTTGAACGCCTTTGCGTGGCGATTGCGAAGACGTTCCTCATCGCAGATGTACTCAGACTTTGCCGTGTCGAGCCTATGAGCCACAGAGGGCAAAGTCAGCGTATGATTCTAAAAGCAACGTCATCTTTGTTGTCAGAACTTACCACATGTATGCTGATTGCAATAATTCGAGTGTGTCCAGAGATGGCAAAGCGGCGTAGTGATCAAAGTCAGGCGGCTGATCCCAGAAGTCGACCGGAACGTCCCAATGCCGACGGATACGAAGTGTTTCCAGGCTAGGGGGCGCTAGATCACGGTTCATGACGATAGCCTGATGGAGGAAAGAATTCGTGTCGCATTCAAGGTACTTCAGAAGGTGGAAATCGCGCATACCATCACCAGGTGGGCGTATGCTGCGGAGCACCTGCGGGCTTTTGTCAAGACGCCAGCCAGGATTTAGATGTGTAAGGCTTTCCAGCGAGTGCGCGACTGCGGAGAGAGCCTCCAGTGATCCGACTGCGTCTTTGTTCAATAACGGCTTAGCCCGCCTTGACCGGTTGATGTTGAAGACATTCTCGCCCAAAGTCAACGACTTCAGTCGCGCCGGAGTGCGAAGGATGCTGAGTAGGCTTTTGGACCGCAGTTCGCACTCGTCGAAAACAAGCGAGGTCAGAGGAGTCTTCTTCGTATATGTCGCGAGCTCTGGGATTTCAAAGTCTGGGAAGGCCACACAGGAGATGTGAAGGTGCTTGAGTGCGGGGTGTCGGAAGAGGCAATGGAACCCGTCAAGGTTCCAGAAGTCGGTAGCAGTACCGTGCGAGTGGATGGTCAAGTTCTCGAGAAGACCCAGCCCAACTGTCCGCTCGAGATTCTTTCCCAAGCGCCGCTCAGCCGCGATCTTGTCCGTCTCTATCGGACCATCCACGCAAGCTGTGTCGAGCGCACGGCGGAAGCGTTGCATGTCGCCATGCACCCAAGCCTCTCCACCATCGTTCTCCCAATGGAAGTTATCGTACGGGCTCTCAATATGCCACTCCCTCAGGTTAACCATACGAGCTACGCACTCGTTGAAGGTGGTCCTTATCTCGGCGCTATCTTTTAAACTGTCGTCTTTGTATGAATACAAAATCTTGAGTGTTTGTACGGCGCGGACGCGTTCGGGACGCGATGTAAAGGCTTCGATGATGGCGTGGAGGTTCTTTACGGATAGAAGCTCGATTCGCTTGTAGAGTCGCTCTTCTGCGAGGTTTTGCATATCGCGACATGTCCGAGCGAGAGCACATAAGGCCTTATTATTGCCTTCGAGATGATCGATTACGACGAGAGCGAGTTCGTTGGGGAGCGCCGACGTCGCCGTGGCCAGAACATTGGACGTCATGATGCGCGTGGTACGCGATCGCGGAGGGTGTCGTATATCAGAAAGAGATGGCTCTATGGCAATGGTCGATGGCCGTACTCCTTGGGTTGATTCAATTATTAGAATATTGATGCCTAAGTTGTCCTAGATATCTCAAGTCAATAATCGCGTGGCGGAAGGCGTTGATTCTGGGCCGAGAGCAAACACGTACTGCAGGCGATGGAAGGTAGCTGTGTTTGGCGACTGTGATACGAAGTCGTTAATCGGAGAATTTGTTGTGATGCGTGAGGAACGCGATTTTCCCACGGCGAACTAAATTATCAGATTATGCAGGGACGACGACGAGGGGCCGAGGCGGGGGTTTCGGCGCACGGGCCCATGACGTTGACGCGTCGTCCACTCACCCATCTACCCCTTGACATACACCTTCAACACCCCCAGATGGCCACCACCGACCCTGTCGAAGCAATTTCGCGCGTTTGGCTAGAAGGCGAACGTATGAACACGCCGTAAGTTATGTGAGAAGCGCGTCTGAGAGGAAAAGCCTAGAGCATCGCGTGCCTACAGCAATGATGAGTGCATATGTCGGGTTTCACTGCCACGGTATAGTATACAGCTCTGCTCCTTTCTATTTCGTATATCTCATGTTCATTTAGTAGGCTTGGGATTCATGCGGATGCTGGAGCCGGGGCGAGCTGTCATCTTCGTTCACGGATCTTTGATCCACGCGTCTGCAACGAGTATCGCATATTTTAATGTACAGTTTCCGGAAAACTCCGGGCAGTCACCTAGTCCTACTCTGATCTCAGGTGCTCTGAATTTGCTGTGTAGTTGGTTGCCTAGGCGTCCCGCTGTTTTGTTGGCACGACGACCTGACAGCTTTATGGTTTGCCTCACCCACGTATTGACAGCAACTATTGTGCGCGAAAACCCTAAACTACGCACGCGGTCACCCTGAACTGGGTGAGAGTACATCTTGAACTGATTTTCGCATCTTTACTTGAGCGAACCTTGGTCTCACCTAGGTGATAATAGGTCACGAGGTCAAGCTTTACGACAATCATGGAGCCTCCACCAAGCCCGCTCTATCTCAACGCGAATGCGAAAGGGAAAAACAAACGAGCAGTCGAAGATGGCTCTCCAAATACTGCCAAGCTTCAGGATTCCTCCACAACCGAGATTAATGCGCCTACCGTGGTCCGCCGCCGCCAACACCGCCGTCACAATATCGCTGCCGAGATCTGGGGCCCGGACATACCCTCCACGCCCATACCCCAGACGTCCACCGGTGGACCTGCCCCGAAGCAGCGTTTCAGTGTCTACAAGGCCATCATCCGACACCCGAACCTCTTCTTCCAGTTCGCCCTCCGCCTACCTTATCCCTCCATCGTCGACCTTTACGCCATCGACAAGGAGTTCCACTACCGCCTGAATCTTTACAGCGTCTCTCTGATACACGACTACGCCCGCTACCATGCGCCGCTCGCCGGCCACATCTTCAGCTGGGTTCTTTACCCTCGTACATGCATCTCCGACCCTATGCTCCGACCCATGGACGGCCGCGAGTGGCTGGCGCGCGACGTACCCGGCTTCCGCTGGGTCGGCATGATAGTCTATCGTCAGAAAGTCGTACGTAGCATTCTCACATGTCTGGCTCTGGAAGGCCATCGCGTACCGGAGGCCTGCGAGGGCGCGCTGATGAAATACTGGTGCGTCATGGAGCTCAACGAATCGATGACGCGTCGCGCCTTCCTCGCGGACGCCGATATCTGGACCGACGCCGATCTCATCAACATCCAGCTCTTCTTCATGAAGCTCGACATGCGCTTCTCAGATCCCATCTTGGGCAACGGCGTCTGTCAGCTCGGGCCGATGTTGCTCGCCCAGAAGAGCTTGACTCCCCTGTGGGAGGCGCTCAGTGGCAAGATGAAGTTCAACTACGATACCACCAGTGCAATGGTCGTTGCTACATATCTCATGGACGATCTTGACTTCGAAGCGCATCCCTGGCTCGAAGACGTAGACGATCATAGCATATTGGAAGATCAGTGGGGTCTACTGAGTCTGGAGGGCTGGAACGAAGATGGTAAGAGGATGCCGCATGCTTTGGATCTGGTTATCGCTGAGAGTATCAGAAGGGGACTGGATGTGCAGCAGTACTATCTGGACTTTGTCATGTATGGGTATGGGGATAGCAAGACTGGGGAGAATATCCCTGTGCCGGTGCAGTTGAGGGGGGATAAGAAGGTTAGGGTGCCGAGTGAGGGTTGGCCTTCCAAAGAGATGAGGCAGAGCACAATCAGGAAGCTGGATGCGCGCTTTGGGTCTAGGAAGGCTACTGCTGGGGATGCGATGGACTTGAGCGCCTGAAAGCTGCAGGGCACAACACGCTGGTTTCGCTCATGAGCTACGTAACTGTCTAGCATAACCGCAAGCTCACGAATCCTCTGATTAGAAAAGAACTTGACATGAACATTATGTATTCTTGTGTGACTACTTTGGGGATGCGAACATCTTCAATTCACGCAGTTCCCTCGTCTAGCTACTAAGTTTCCTTTTCGCGTCGAGATTCTGCGGTTTCGTGGGCCTTCTCATCATGCCATCTCTCATCATCTGTCTGACAAGTGAGCGAGCGCGGATGAAGCTGAGACAGTTGCTGCAGCTTTCGCACGTCTCACATCTTCCGCCATCTTCACCACCATGTCCATGATGTCCTGCAACTTGACCTTGCCTTCATATCCGTTGGAGACCATGTCAGTGCACATGCCCTGCGCGGTCCTCATGAGCCTGCGTTTCTTCTCGTTCACGTCGGAGATATCGAGGTTGAAGATGGCTTTGTCGGTGGCAGTCTCGATGACAGCGATGTATTTGAGCATGGGTGCCAGAGGAGTCCCAAGTTCGGGTGACTCGCCGTTGGTGGTGCCGTCTGGGCGCTCAGTCAGGGCTGGAGAGTTAGGGCGAGTGGTCGATGGTGTATGTGTACCGGCAGTGGTCGCGTCATCTAGCGATGGTCAGTTGGGGATTTCTAGAGACAGTAAGATACACACACCGGTGATGTTCAAGCCCTCGAGCCGCTGGAAGATATCTTTGTCGCATGTTTGTACTGAATGCTCTTCCCACAGACCCTTGAATTCCGGCGCAAGCATCCTACTTGCCGGATTTTCTCGTGCCCAGAGCAACTGGGTCACGAACTTTCGATATCTGAGCATGCAGCCGTCGCTGAGGCACCACGAAGAATTATCCCATTCCATGTCAATGGGGTACAAGGACTGCACGAGAAGAAGAGAGTCTCGGTTCAGGAGGACACCGTCCTTGTTGAACTTTAGACCGCTGGCGGAGAAACCGGGCTGCTCCTCCAGGTACTGCTTGAGGATCTCCACCGTCTTCGCATCGAACAACGGGGAGCGCTCTAGCCATGATGATGCGAGACTGATGGTCTTGGTAACGCTTCGATGGCATTTTGAGTGCATCTTGAACATGGCTGGCCACGTCTTAACCTTCTCGAGCATGCGCTTGCCAGCAGCAAGAGCTTTACCGATCTCAGCTGTGTCTTCTCGGTTGGAGTCCTCAAGAATGGCGATCTCGACGGTGTAGAAGATGTAGTTGCAAGCTACTATGGTTTGTACAGGAAAGAAGACGGAAGCAGTCATCTGCGCAGTATTGCTGTCCATACTTGCGGGGCGCGTGCGATTTAGTCGTTGGCGGTTTCCGAGGGGAGGTAAAGGTGCGGAGACGGAAGCCGCAGGTCGCAGTGTTTTCTAACTGGAGCATTACTCACTAGGGCAGTCGCGATTTCCAGGGTCTTGCGAGGTTTCACCTAGCGGTGAACACTAATTGGGAAGTCACTTCCGGATCGAGCGATCGAGCAGGAGGTGGGAGGTACCATACCGGTACTCATCATATTGCGCTATCGACGCGCTGGCCTAGATCGCTTTGCCTAGCAGTGAACCCTCAATGAGGAAGGCAGCAGCCGGGAAAACATCACGTATCGTTTAAAAACGACACAAAGACAATTGAGCGAGATGTAAGCATCCTGGATTTGGCAGCGCCCTCCCATGTCATGTTTCACTACAACTATCAAGTATGGAATGATCCATAACTACTTATTATTTCACCACTTGTCCTATAGGCGCTCGGTGGGAGCTGGCGAAGCGGTACGAGTAGTCGACGGAGTGAACGTGTCGACAACGGACTCGGTGTCTAGCACGGTATTAGATATAAGCTTGAATGCTGGAAAGAACGTCTCCTTACCGGTCAGACTGACGTGGTCGGAGGCTGTACCGTCCTGGACTTCTGGTACATGTTCCAGGTAGGCTCCCCTGAACTCCCTGCTGAACATACGCTGGAGAGGCTCCTCTTTCATCCAGGCCAATGTCATCAAAAAATCCTCGAAAAACACCATGCCTTCGTAACTGTCAATAAGGGAAGACTTCAGTCGATTGAGGTCATTCTTGTAGGCCTGCGCCACTATGCGCTGCTCCAGAATGATGAGATCTCTATCCGAAACGGTACCATCTCGACGTATGGCCAATCTGCTGGCTGAAAAGCCTCGCGGGGGTGTCAAGTACTTCTTGAGGGCCTTGCTTTGCTCCGCGAACGATGTGGAGAAAGCGGAGCGCTCAAGCCACTCGGTCGCGTTCTCAATGAGCTCGGTGATGTTGTCGTGGATGCGCGATCGCTGTCCGATGATGAGCGGCCAGACAGTGTCGCTGGAGGCAACTAGCTCTGTAGCTCGACTGTAGTGCGCGTCGATTGCGTCCATATCTCGAGAGTATGGAGCCTCATATACAGACATGTTGCTGATCATGATGCAGTGCACTTGGAATAAAATGTATCTGCAGGCGATGAGAGTCTCAATGGGGACAATGGCGAACTTCATCATATTCTCTGGGTACGCGTCCATGGCGGGGAGTGAGGGTGTGTTGTGCGCGGGATTGATGGAGTAGAGAGAAGAGATCGAATACTATGATTTATATGCCCTGATATGCGTGCCGCTAGAGCAAACGACCGTCCAAGCCCGCACGGTCCTGCACCGGTAGTCAGTGAACACTAGCTAGGTGACAAGGAAAGCAAGGGTCTTACTGACCGGCTGGCAGATTAGAGAGGGTAAGTCGCACACCGCCAGAGACATCTCACTGCCTGTTCTTTTTCGAGATAAAAGATAAGGTAAAGTCCACAAGTGAAAATTGACTTCAGTATTATGACATTGATTTCACCCGCAACTGGGCTAGAACCCGGTCTCCTTTTGCGATTAATCAAGACTACCTAGGTAACCTGACTTGCTAGCTCTACCATCTGTATCCCGGTGGATTATACTCGAAGGGATCAGGTGGAGAAGGGACGTCCAAATGCGGTGCACTGATATACATGCGCTCTCGTGGCGCCTTCTCAACCCAAGCCAGCATAGTCAAATACTCTCGATGCGCTTTCCCATGTTCTCCCGAGCACAAGTCCTCGACCGAAAGTGTGCAGTCCGAGTAACCCTGAAGTAGCTGCTGTCGAAGCGCAATCCTCTCTTCCCTCATTTGTAAAAGACCACCATTATCCACGATATAGCGTCTCGGTTTGAAGGTGATCGGGGCGTTGAGGTAAAGCTCCAGATCGCTGCGATGCTGGATGAAGAGTGGGGAGTTGTCTAGCCACGTGCGCGCCTCCGCCTCTATCTTGTGTATGTTCGTGGCCAGGGGTGCGTCTCGATCAACGACCAGAGGCCAAGTGTATTCGTTTTGGAGGATCTGTTCAGCTACGGAGGAAGAATCATAAAGCGTACATTCGCTTGGGTTCTTTTCGAAGTGGTCTTTATTCGTGTTGTTCAGAATGGCTTCTCTTGCTGCTCTCAGGATGGAGTCACAAGCGACTACAAACTGTATCGGGACGACTGCGAGTATGACATGGTTTGGGACTTTCGGTGGTACATAGGGCGGGGGTTCGTTGGATCGAGCCGCTGAACTCATTGTCGTGTTGATGATTGATGTTTCGCTTCGAAGATGAGAGGTCAGGATCCGAGAGCAGCTCTTATACATAGCTGAGGCGGTAAATCAACAAGCAGTTTGCGGTTGTATGATGGAAAGGTCATACGTCCATGAGCGTGAAAAGCAAATGGTACTGCGGTGACGCGACGCAGACGAGCGACTCACAACTTCCGAAATCCACATGTACCCATCTAATCAGGTCCTCTCGAAAAGAGAAGTGTCGTCAACACGAGAGTTTGCGAAAAGCAGATAGCAAGCAACACCAGGCATCTCCCAACCTCCTCCAAACTCCGCAGCCTCCTCACATCCCCCTCACATCCCCCTCATACCCCACGCCTACCTTCCTAAACCCCCCCTTCCCTCCCCCCTCGCCACCAAACCATCCAACCCCACCCTCTCCATGTCCTCAGTAATCTCCCTAAGCATCATCTGCCACGGCACCGCCCTAGGATCATCTCTAGGATACCTCCATATCATCTGCATAGCATGCCTTGCCTCCTCAAACCGAGGGTGTTGTCGAGCATACTGAGGAAGTTGGGCGAGCCTGTTCGCAACACCACCAACACCACCGTGATGTGAGCCCTCGACATGAAGCACGGGTGCACTCCTGCTGCGAGAGTGTACGGGACCGTGTCGGCGGATAGGTTCAGATGGGAAGGAGGGAGGGGGAGGGTCTCTTCGAGGGTCGGGGGCGAAAGATACACGTCGAGAAGGTGGAGAGGGGACTGGTTGGGGGAATGGGGGCAGAGGGGGGAAGGGACCGTGGCGATTGGGTGGGGGGTATGGCATTTCGAGATGAGTCGGAATGAGCTGGTAGCGAGAGCCATCGATGGGTATCAAACCATCTGGCACGTCTAGTCGATTTGGGAATCGAAAGTCATCAGTATCGTGCCTTGAGTCGCTTTCGTAGCTCACGCTACGATGTCTCCTATGTACAGCTTCATAGGTTGACTGTACATAGATGGGGCCGGAGTCGGCAGAAACGCTGACTGTACTACGTTCGCCGGTACTCCTACTACGGACGTGGCAATGGCGTGGCGTTCCATGTAGTTTTGAAGTAATCCAATCCATTGTGTTTTACTATCTTTTGGTAAGGACTTTGTCGGGTAGAGTCGAAGGTGGGAGTGGTTGACGTTGCGTGTCGAGATAGTGCTCGAGTTAAAAGAAGGGTTTGGTTTAGGTCGAAGAGGCATCGGTGGGAAGGATTAATCCGAGAGAGGGTGTGCCGATGGAATGTAAACTTCTACTCCCATGAACTGAGGGGACCGGCTGTTCGGCGATGGCGACTATGAGAATAGCGATGCATGGCTAGAGTGAAGTGTTCGAAGAGGAGGTGAACCGGAGTGTGAAAAGCAGTGAAAATATGATGTGAAAGTAAGGACAACCGAGACGACATTGTATGTATATGCACCTCTAAGTGATAGTAATGATATGAAGATTGGACGTGTACTGAGGAACGATCTTGTCACGAGACTCTTGAACCTACACCAACAATGCTAAAACGACCCTGGATATCCAAGCACCTGAAAACGCCATGTGAAATGCAAGAAGCAGCAGTTATACAGTCATCTAAACAACAATACGTCATCTACGCAACATATAACTCAAGTCTGGAAGCCCAGCCAGAATGCTCTTGATAACCTGCTCTTCATCGTTTTTCCGTCGTTGCGCAGAATTCGTAGCTCCAGTAAGCGGCTGGATAGGCGGAGGAGTTACATTTCGCGGAGGAGACCGCGTGAACGTTTTCGCCGAAGACGCAGCACTGCTCGGTCTCGGAGGAGTCTCAAAGACGGAAAAGGGATCTGATGGATCGCGCGTGGCTGGCGCAGACGCTTTCGTGGCAGGAGCAGATTCGAAGAAAGAGAAGTCGGCGTCCGCCCAAGCATCGATGGTGGGTTCATCTCGTGCTATGGGTGCTGGAGGCGGAGTGCTAGGCCTGGCAGGTTCCGGCTCGTGTGCATTGGACGTAAACGCAGAAAAGTCGTCATCTTCCGTGCCGTTCGTACTAGGCTCCTCGAGCTTCACCTCGTTGACAGCGATTTGGTTTGTATCATGCGCGTCGCGCGCCGGCAACACATCAGCTTTCACTTCCTCCTGTGGAATAACATCTGAAATCGGTTTCGATGGAACTTCGACTTTGCTCTTCTCCGACGTGGCAGAAACAGAGCGCTTGGCGGGTTTCAAGAGTCCAGGCCCAATAGGTCCTTGTTCAGCGTGGAATGGAACAAAGCTCTTCGGACCAAAGATCGCTGATGTTGGCGATATGGTACTTCGCAGGCGCACGATATGCATCGCTTCGGCAGAGCGGTCCTGGGTCGGTGGAGTCTTCGGTGGTGATGCTGAGTTTGATACGGTGCTGTCGAGCGTCGCTGGTATAGAACTTGAAAAGGCCGAGGGGAAATTGGATACTGTAGGGCTTGATATCATCTCACCCCAATCATCGTCATCTTCTGCAGGCACATCCGTACGTTGTTCCTGATTGAGCTTGTTGGTGTCGAGAGCAGCAATGTCTCCCCAAGGACTTGAAGAGGTCGTGGTTGGCTCAGGAGGTGGGATTGCTTTCGTTGCGACAACCGGCGTTTCACTCGGCGTTTGCCCATGTGTTTTCCCAACATCGCGTGTCAGGTCCATTGAAACTGCACGAAGCTCATTCGCTTGTGTAATTTCGACAGCATTATGCTTAGACGCGACAGGCGGGATTATAGGCGGTAGACCGGGACTGTCCTGCTTCCAAGGGTCTTCTGTGGTAGTCGGAGAACTCCAGTTGAACGCAGCTGGAGCGTCAGTGGACACGGGAGGCATACTTTGTCGAGCTGGTACAACTTCGACTGCTCGTGGTGTGGGAATGGTAGTCTTCGTGCGCAGATGTCCTCTTGCTGTCTTGGGCTCAGGAGGCGCAGGCGTGTCCCAGTAGAACGATGCTCTGGCTCCCGGACCTGTACCAGAGAGACGGTCTTCGCGTGCCCATCTTGCCACAGTCTTGTTCACTTCCGCTCTGATCTGTGAGCCTGCCCATGTGACCCGGATGTAGTTGTCGTCTGCATTCCCGCTGTTGAACTCCCTCATAGTCTGCTTGCGCGTGAGCCTGTACCACGCTTTGCGCCCAGATGTTGAGTATATAGGATCATCTGGTGCCTCCTCTAGTTCCCTTGTATCGCCGCTGGAAGAAAAGAGCTCGTTGAAGAGGTCTGTATCGAGTTGGTAGGTATCGCCATCGTGTGAGGCAGCGGCGGCACTCGATGCTACCGGCGATCCAGAGCGGGAAGCGGCTGATTCTTCTAAGTTCTCCTTCGACTCCACTTCAGCGCTTTTTGTAGTTTCTTGTGAACCAGAAGGAGCCTCCGTCAATAGAGTGTCTTGCGTGAAAGTCCCAAACTCATCGTCTGTGCTGTCGCTACTCGAGCTTGAAGCATCTACGTCACTGTCCTCATGACTTGCTGTCGCGTGTACTTCCTCAGGACTCGGATCCTCCACTGCAGTCTGATGCCTGCCAGCCTCTTCTTCGAATGATGTCCGTGGCGATTCGACCGGCGCTTCGGTGCGGCTCGTTTCGGATGGGGACGTGGAGGGTCGTTCAGAAGAGTCATCGTCGGGCTGTAATCGATTCGCAGGGGCGACCGCGTCTTGACTGGGAGACTTGTCCGGCTGTATCGTAGTCGACGTGTCGGATGTGTCCGAGGTTACGTTGTCCAGGTCGGAGGTATCTTCTTGTCCACCCCACGCGTCTTCTCGTGTCGGTAATTCGTGCTCGCTTTCTTCTTTAAGATCCCAACGCGGCCCGTCGTCAATTGCACTCTCATTCTTCAGTGGGCTTGGGTCAGCTATGCGTGTCTCCGTGAGCGTGGTGACAGCGGCATCATGTCCAGATGACGTAGTCCAGTCACCAAAGCTCTCGTCCTCATTCCCCCACCCAGCATCATCCAGAAATCCA